AATTAATTACGATTAATTAATTTTTAAGCTGTAATTAACTCGTAATTTAATCGTTAGACAGCCCTAATCTATATCTATTCATTTGTTATGATTCTAACTGACTACTTAAGTAATATTAATTTGAATAGTGCATTGCACAGACCAAGGTCAAACAAAGCACTTTACAATTTTGATGTACCGTGTTTCCATTCACTCCACACACCGTGATGACAGAAGCAAGGCGGAGAACACAATGACGCAATTAAAGCAAGGGTTGTGGACTTTCTTTTTGTTGCTGGAAACGGAACTGTTCTGGAGGAGCATATGAGAGGAGGAGGCAGCACATGACAGCAGTGCACAATGGCTGATGTCCCAGAGAGAGGAGCACAGCCACCTCCCAGAACAGAACTCAGTTACCATCACAGAGGCAGACATCCGAGAAAGAGTTTCAGGTATGAAAAACTAGACAGCACCTGGCCCTGATATGGTCCATGCCCTTTGGCTAAGGACACTCACATCACTCCATGAGCGTCTAGCAGCACAAATGAACCAGCTGCTGAGAGATGGGACTCACTTAGAATGGCTAACCCAGTAATTAGGGTATTTTTGTACATTCATTTGCCCCGCAACCCCCCTGCATTTTCTGTGTGCCCCTTCTAGGGGCTCCATTTTGAGAACCACTTATGTATTGCAGATTCAGTCTTCCCAGCCTGATGCAGGTCTACAATTTTGTTTCTGGTGTCCTTTGACACCATGGTCATGGCCATAGTGGATTTTGGAGTGTGACTGGTTTAGGCTGTGGACAGGTGTCTTTCAGACTGATAAGGAGTTCAAACAGGTGGCATTAACACAGGTAACGAGTGGAGGACAGAGGAGCCTCTTAAAGAAGGAGGTACAAGTCTGTGATAGCCAGAGATCTTGCTTCTTTGTAGATGACCAAATACTTTTTTTCCACCATAATTAGCAAATAAATTATTTTCTAAATTCAGACAAATACCTTGCAGGAATAGTCAGGTGGCCAAAGGAAGAGATTCAGATCACAGATGTTAAAACTTGAAAGCTACTCACTATGCATGGCGGGTTCCATCCCAAATCTAGCACTCTGAGGCTGTAGGCCGTAGAGAAGGAAGCCAAGGACTAGTGAGTGAGAGCCACTGTCCAGGACAAAACATCCTTACTCCATAACATCCATGAGAATGAGTGGGCAAAGATCCTGTGGGACTTCCAGATATAGACCGACCAAATGGTAATGGCAAACCAACCTGACATAGTGGTGGTAGACAAAGGGCAGAGGACAGCGGTGGTGGTGTACGTGGCAAATACGAAGGAGCTGAAGACAGCCTGGAGGGTAAAGTTGTGCCCGCGGTGATCGGTGCACTCGGGCAGTGGTTACAGCGGATCCCTGGAACCACTTCCGAAATCTCGGTCAAGAAATGTGCAGTGCTAGGAACAGCAAAGATACTGTGCAAAACCCTCAAGCTCCCAGGCCTCTGGTAGAGGACCCAAGCTTAGAGAGGGATAAGCGCCAAGGAGGGTGAAAGGTGTTTGTGTTTAATATATAATTAATTCAATGAAATTTCCCAAAGCAATGTTAATTGACACTTTTGCTTTTGTTACATATGTGATTCATTGTTTTTTATTGACTGTGCTATATGGAAACTGCAATATTTTCTTTGTGCTCCAAACACCAACCAAGCAACCAATAATATTTTATTGTCATTAAACATCACTGAATTAAAAAAAACTCACCAAGCTGGACTAGCTTACTGCATCCCTGGATATGAATGCTGGGTGAAAGTCGTGTTACTTTTGTAGGGTAGTAACTGCAGTCAATGTCCGCGCCACTTCACCATCATTCAAGTTTCTGTATTATTGTCTGGTGCAGACCCACATTGTCCTCCGTAAACACGGTCTGCTCCCTGTAAACCAAGCACACAGCGCTACCTCCAACTTCAGCCGTTAATACCCATCAGAGGTGAGGGCCTCTGACCATCATCATCCATTTTCAGTATCTCATTACAGTCAGACTTATTGTACATGTTTTAACCGGGGCACCCAGAGAAAACCTATGCAGACACATGCAATCTCTAAACTGAAAGAATCAAACCTTCTTGCTGTAAATCACTAGTGCTAACCACTGCAGCACGATGTCACCCATGCCTTGGCTTATGTCACTTTGCAAAACGTAAGTCTATATCATATATTGGTTTCCCATTTAAGGTTTAACTTTGACTTGATATTCTAACTTCTGAGTTTCACCTGTATTTGTCTTCTGCTTTTTAATTTATTCACTTATTTCATTCCAAAAAGATAAAACAGTTCAAACAAGGTTGCTTTTTTCTACATCTCAAAGCCCTCGTATGCAGTCGTAATTTATACAATGTAGGATAACAATTATTTTTCTGGAATACATCATAACCAAATCTGCAGCATCAATGACGTCCATTATCCATAGACCCTCTCACAAAAAGCGAAACATTATCTCATTTGCTGTTGATTAATTTTATTGTTTATGCCTCTGTATTAATATGCAAATCCAGCACCTTTTGTTTCAGAAAGAAAAACAAAGATAACAAAGCTTTTGAGGACACCAAAAGTTAAATGCAAATTGTTCTGTGCTGTTATTCGAGCTTGCCTTTATAAGCGACAGACATTTTGCTGCTATTCATTTGGTGTGGACTGATTGAATACTGATTTATGTGTAGTTTTGTCAGAGACTTCCACGATCCTGGGAAATGCATGCATTATTTTAGATGGGCTGTAGCACAATGTTATGTTTATATTTATGAATGAAAGAATATATACTGAATGCAGCCCATAGTACAGTATTGCTGAACATGGAAGAAGATGATTTGAACATAAGCTTGATGGGTCAATGTCCTTATATGGGCATTTAATCTGATGAGGTTGCCAATGAACCGCAGCAATGGTAGGTGCAAACTAACGTTTTGCTAACTTGGTTGACTTTGAAAGAATCTGTCAGACTGTACAATAAGTCACTTTAAATGATCACTGTGTGAAAACCTGCACTACTATTGACACTGTTTCCAATCGACACTTTTGTTGTACATAATTATTGTCACTTTTATTGCACATATATCCTGCATGTAACATGTTTGCACATTTCCTCCTTTTGCACAATCTGAGTGTTCTATCCATGCCAAATGTGACATGTAAATTTCTCCTCTGTGAGATAAATAAAGCACATCTTATCTGATTGTCAATCCTTACGTGTCTCATATCTGCATTAACAAAGACAACATCAGGTTCATAAACAGTGCTAAACCACAGATTCTTGAAGTCCTACTCACTACGAGTGTGACATGAAAGGTCCATGAGCTTGAGGAGTTAACTTTTCAATGTAAGTTAATAGGAACTAGAGCGAGTCGGAGCAAAACGCTTCCCCATGGGACTGCATTGAGTTAGGCCAGGGGTTAGCATTATCCATCTATAGTCTTTTGGCCGAAGTCGTTCAAAGACATTCTTGGTCGGACAAAAGCTCTCAAAACTACTGTACTCACATAACCTTTGGCGTAAAATGACACAACAAATGCATTAAGTAAAGTGTATATTTTAATAAAATTTAGCTAAAACAAACTGCAATAAATAATCAATCAATCAAAAACTGTATTTGTCCTTGTGGGAGAAAATAAAAGCAGCAGCAATAACTTAAAAAACACACCAGTTCATCTCATCATACGTCAATAAAATAAGTGGGGTTAAAGTGTCGAGGTATGTGCGGGAATTAAAACTTTTTTTCATTTAAGGTGTTTGTGCTCCTCCACCACCTCCACTATAGCTTTCTGTGTATGGTGGTGGTAAAGAAAAAGACTAATCAAGCTTGAAGTGGCTTGAAAGTGGAATTTCAATATCAAAATCTATCGTTTTCCCATATAAGTCTGTTATTTAAAAAATCTGATATATTTTTTTTAGGGTGTACTGCATTTATTTCAGTATTTTAACTTACAATAATAAACTTATATATGATATAAACTCACTACATGAAAAGTGACATATACCGAGGCTTACAATCTAAATATTCTAATTTTCTTAAAAGTTTTATTTGGAGTTCTTACAAGTTGTGAGCCAATTATCAGCAAAGTAACAATAAACTTTTGATTTATCTCATATTGCATGTTATGAGTCTGTCATAACATGCAAGTTGTGTTTCACAGGAAGATATTTATTTCTGGTAGACATTCTTGGCTGATCATACAAGGCGTGGATGCAGAGCTTATGCAGGTGTGTGTATTGTTGACCGCAGCAGCTCAGATCTGGTTCATGATAATTTGTTGTAATTTGCAGCGTGTGAAGTAGCCTGGTGCTAAGAATGCATGTGTAATTAAGAGGCTCAGAGAGGAGATCTATTGAAGTGGGGTAATCGCCTGCTGCAAGTGTTCTGAACAGGAGGAATATAAAAAGCATACAGATGGAATTGGAATTGTCCAAGGGAATAGAAAAAAAATAAAATATATATATTTATCTCAGGCCCGACTTGTTAGAAAAAAAAAACAAAGAGTGAAAGAAAGCCCTGGTATAATAAAAAATAAAAATCACATTTAACATGACTACAGTAGCAACAAATTATTGTTGAAGTTCAGACGTTGTGGCCATCAGAACTCTATAGCAGGAGGGAGGGATAAATGGGCAAAAGATTATCCCATCAAAGCAGCAGAAGAATTAGACTGGATTTTTTACCTGTATATCCAGCAGGATATGTCAAATAGACGAGTGTCAAAATCCAAGATGGCGGCTGCAGCTTGTTATTTTATTGTTTTGAAAATCACACTATAGACGATGATTAACATAACTCACTGTGAGAAACAGCTGAGTGTATTTGTCTGTTTGTTAAAGCCGTTTTTGAAAGTAAATGGTTTTTTTGCAGCTACCTGTCTTATGCGTACTACGTGTCCTCTGTTGTGGGTCTGGTTGGTCACTTTGCTTGCACTTGGAAAAAAAACACAAACCTGAGGTTATAAACATTTGTTTGTTGCAGGTATTACAGCGCTACCATCCTGCAGATGTCTGGGGTGCGAGATGACAGGCTGGCTATCTGGCTGGCCGGATTGACCACTCTGACCAACTTCCTGTTCACCCTGCTCGGGGTGTGGCTTGTGGAGCGGGTTGGTCGGAGGAAGCTCACACTGGGCAGTATCATAGGTACGCAAATCCTGTCTTACAATTCATGCTGTTCATAAAAATCAATTAACTATAAAAGCTAAATATGTAGGTACTAACTTCCTTGTTTTACTATTAGTGTCTATCCAGAGTATGTTTGTTTTTATGGTCGCCTTGACCCCATGTCTGTCAGCTCAGCACAGCACCGTCCATGTAACAAATAAATACATACAAAAACAAGGAGCATTATGGGAGAAGACTGCTTCTCTTACCTTGAGCCTAATCGGGTGCAGCAATAGCCCCATAACCTGTCAGGCCTGGCTTCTCAGATCAGTCGAGCTTTCACATGCACTTGGTGCAACAGTCCTATATTGACACCTACCCTCCAACTGTAATACTATGTTGGGATTCATGAGGATATGTTTACCTCTGTTTGCTGTTTTTTGTGTAAAATAGAACAAAAGTGGGTGAGTAGGTGAGTGGGCAGGTAGCAGCGATGATATGAAATGCAGTTCCAACACTTGACTTGAGTGGTTGATCACATTGACAAAAGCAGCCGACAGCCTCCCTTTTCACTGATTCCTTTTTTTTCCCTCCAACACATCTCAGAGCCTCACCATCCACTGACTTTTTCAAAGGCTTTTCTTTATACAGACGTGATTTGACATGTTAATGAAATCTCCTCCTTATGTGTTATGTAGGATTTTAGACACAACACTCCTGCACGTTTAGTAGGGGTGTGACTGGTAGCTTCAGACATGGGTTCAGTATTTTTATACTTAGACCTTACTTTGTCTTTTCATGTTTTTGAATGTGAAATAATATCCCCAGTAGAAGATATATTAAGAAGCAATTACTAGAAGTAAAATAAAAATCCTCCTGAGTTGAATTTATTTCAGATACCAAAACCAATTTATGGGCAATACTTTTGTTTTAAAAGACAGAAAACCATTCTGAATGTGATGTCATAGTATATACTTTAACCTTGCAATTTCAACTTAATGGTAATTTCTTCAATGTCAAATCTCTCTTTCTCCATCAGGGACTTGCCTGAGCCTGAGTGTGCTCGCTGTGGGCTTCCTGCTCTCAGCTCAGCACAGCCCTCCGGTCACCTTCCACCCTCTGGACCCAGCCATGGCCAACTCGACCTGCATCAAGTACCAGTAAGTGTGAACACAAAGTCTCTAACACTCTTTTGTAGTTGGGAATGGGATGAGAATAAATGATTCATCAAGACCTTTCACTCTGCCTTGCTACACTGGGTTCCAAAAAAGTGTGACCTCTCTGAAGTAACTTACCTGTTAACACGTCGACAAGAACTTTTTATCAGACAACCCAATGTGTAACAAATGTATATGAAGATGTTCTCCAGCGGCATCACTTGTGCTTTGTTTTTTTGTCAAATATGTAAACAAAATCCCATATTCACTAACCCTTTGGAATCTAAACAACTCAATCAATCAAATTGACTAAGTAAAACATTGATGTGTTGATACCAAACTGCAAAAAAATCATAAAGTGAAAGTCAGTTACTTTTTTGTGAAGATGGACCTTTTTTGATGCAAGCGTTAGTTAGACCCACTCCCACGTTCCTGATTGGACGCAGTTAATTCAAATCCTTGATAGACAGCTGAGGAACTCACCATTGGTCTAACTTTTCTCCTTCAGCAATTTTGACTGGTGATGAGGGTTCTAAATATATTTATTATTAAAAACACTTACTGCACTTTTTTTTTTTATTTAGACTTGTGTTTATCAAGATTCCCTTGAGAATCCCCTTACAAAAGATCCCTTTACAAACACCCATCTCTCTCTATTGACCACCCATTACAAACAGCCCTGCAAAGCCCCACTCTCGTGGCCCTAATATACTGTTACTTAGTCCCTAAACCCCAAACTTATGCATGGCCACAAAGGCAGAGGCTTTTTTTGCGGCTTCACCTCTACCACACTCTCCTCAAGTGGAGATCCACAGAGCGACGTGCACAGATGAGAAGTGGATACGGAATGTGTGAAAAGTTCTCCATTTTGCTTTCACAGATGATTCTAGGTGTAGTTTTATGCACACAGGCATTTTTTTCCAAGCAAAAACAAAGAAAAGCTACTCAAGTTGATGTTATTGATTGGGGCTGTTACAATGTCATTATACAAAAGTTATCACAATACACTGGCCGCATTACGATACATATAATCATACCAGTATATTTCCACACAATGTATTCCAGTTTGATCCTTGTGCATCAAAATAGAAATGAAAAGCCATGTCAAGTTTCTAAGTTTCCTAGATACAATATAATATTATATCAAATATAAATCTGACAAAGTCTGTAAAAGTGCACATAGTGATTACCAACTGAAGACAAATAAAAAAAAGCCTCCTCCATAATGCAATACATGTTAAAGTATTTAAATTTGGGTTACATCGAAACACTTCGAACAGGTAACAATACTTGCATCAATTCTTCAGAACAAGCTTTACACTTGAATTAAATGAATTGTATTACAATACCTTTATGATATTTGATCACTTTTGTCTTTTGTGAGCTGTTCCTTTGCCAAAAAAACCCCTAAAGTTTCAAGGCACAAACTCAGTGCTATTTTCAAACTGGACACAATAACCTCATTCTCAATGTGCAAAAACACAGGAATTGCAGCCAAAACTCTGGGGCACCCTTGCCTTAAACTGATTAAAAATACATCAGTATTTAACCACATAACATTACACAAGTTACACAAGACACAATGTTTGAAAGTATTTATGTTCCTTCACATTCTCACTTAATCTGGCAGCGCCCTGTGAGACGTTCAAACTTTAGAAGTTTAATTTGCACGTTCCCATCGTCCCTGTGGTGAAAAGTATTGCCTCCAAAAGACTGTTTGGAAATCCTGGAAATGGAACAATGTTTTGTGAGGAGTTCAAAGCATGGGGAATGTTTGTATAACATAATCATCAGAATCATCATTGTGTAGGCAATTGGTTGACCTTATGTGCTCCTTAGTGTTTGTCTTTCACATGGCATTTCAACTAAATATTCTATTATATGACATTTTCAAAAGCTATTATTTTCAGGTTCCCCCTTTTCAGACTTTTATTTTGTTAATAAAATCACTTTTAATTGACTTTAATTTCAATCTTAAAAAACTTTCATTAATTTAGTGTTTCGTTGAACATCTTTACTCAGTGACATGATATGAAACCTCTTTAACCCTAGCGCTAGTGCTTACACTGCTCACTTTAGCCTGCGCGCTCACTGCTCAGTCTCTAATTAAATATGAATGCCTCTGCATCTGAGTAGGTAAAAATAAACATGTGAAAGTAACACGTTTGCTCAGACTCTCACTCTACGTAGACCTCCCTGATCCTGAAAAAATGCTTTGCATGGTTAGGCATCTGCATGACAGGCCTTAGTCATAGTCTTCAGATCAACAGCAGAATAAAAACACATGCTTAAGAAATCGCTCCCCTGGCTTAAACATTTTTCCATGTGAGGACCATATATACATATAGTTCAAGAAGCTTCATCTTGTCGTCTTAGTAGATCGAGTTTGCAAGATGGGCGCTTCTGATGAAGACAGGTCGATTCAGATTCATTTATTTGCAGAGGTGTGGACTCGAGTCATGTGACTTGGACTCGAGTCAGACTCGAGTCATGATTTTGATGACTTTAGACTCGACTTGACCAAATATAAAAAGACTTGCAACTCGACTTGGACTTTAACATCAATGACTCTGACTTTCACTTGGACTTGCGCCAATTGACTTGCAAAGACTTGCGTAACCCGGGCCATTTTTACCTTTCTCCGCATCTCTCTTTCTATCTATGCCGTCTCTGAAGAAACAAAGCCTCGCGGTAGTTGTAGCGCTCGCGCGAGAGTTCGAACGTGAGTTCCAGGCAGTTCGCGCAGCAACACTTCCCTAAACAAGCGGACTGCATTCACCGGTGGGTGTTTTGTCTAGGGGAGCTGGAAATGAGCGAGCTGCAGGTATTTATCGCGACCTAACGTCATATTTTGTTCTACAAACCGTAATTGATATGCTTTCACTACAGGCGCCTCATACAATTGAATCGACGCAGTTGTCACACTGTGTGCCGTGTTTTAAAGAGGAACTGGTGAGTCAAACTAGCGCTAGCCTGCGCTGCTCTGTTAGCTCTTTCTTATATTTTTCTGTGTGGGCGCCGAGGCCTATTATTATGAGTATGTTTTTGCTGTGCTCCTCCTGCTAAAGTTTGCATACATTAGATAGTTGTTTTGATTATGTGCACTAAGCTAGATTAATATTTGCACTATTGTTTATGGTTCATTGATATGAGAATCAGTGCTTTGACTGATTGAATTAATTTATATGAGACATTTTATTATGTAATGATATATTGGTAATTATGAGATATTACTAATGCTGGCCCAGTTCATACAGGCCAGGTTCCTTCCCCTCCATTGGTCCCTTCAGACCTTTGGAACAATAACCACTACGGACATTAAACTGATTATATAGATACAGGTCCTAGCCCAATACTCATATTCATATATGCTGCACTTGCTACTTCCCATTAAAAACCCCAAAGATAAAAAGTATGTTGACACGGACTGCTCTGATTTTATGTGTGGTCTGTGCATGTGTAACTGAGCCTGCATCTGGCACAACATAGTTTTGATTTACCAGCAGCCAACCACATGGAACAAACTGTTAGTCCATGGGTCAGAGACCAACGAGAATGCACCAGCAAAATGATTCCTAACATTATTTTGTTTGCCTACATAAAGTACGTGGAGACCAACAAGAAACAAATCGCGGTCAAAAAGACTCGAGAGGACTCGAAAGTCAAACCGTAGGACTTGGGACTGACTTGAGATTTGTTGGCCTTTGACTTGGACTCGACTCGGGACTTGCCTGTCTTGACTCGTGACTTGACTCGGGACTTGAGGGCAATGAATTGAGACTGACTTGTGACTTGCTAAACAATGACTTTGTCCCACCTCTGTTTATTTGCCATTTGCAGTAAAACCACATTGGAAAAACTGTGCAAGACTACCCCGGTGTGCACCAGACAGAGAGGACGACACACACCAGAGCTCTTGCCACGGCGCCATCTTTACGGCGCCATGCGACAAACAGTAGAATAAACAGCAGAGAGCAGTAACATACATATCACAAGACAGTTTGGATAAGACACGGACGTTTTTATTATGGAAATAAACTCAAACAACCCTTTGCCAATGTGGGCTGTCAGAGGGGGCTGGGTGAGGGGGGGATGAGCAGGAAAGACTTAGAGGGAGTGAGGAGGGAGGGAGAAGGGAGTAGTGAGGGGGAGAGGAGCGGGGGGCTCCAAAGCTGGGTGATAATGGAAAATGGGGAAAAACTCGATCTAATTAAATATTTCGTTTGAACACACTATTGTTAATCATATTGAATACAGTACAATACATGCATTAAATTAAATTAATTATTTCCATTATCAACCCGACAGACCAGTGTAAGAGTGTAGAGTGGCCACAGGACGCGTCATCAGCCTACGTCAGCAGCCACGGATTGCTATGAAAACATTAGCTTTGTGGTTTCACAGGCGCAGTTGACTGCTTAAACTAAACTTTGCACGAAACTTTGACTCTTAAAACCCACATGTGACAAAACGGAACCATCAACATCTCGCCTCAAATTGGATTAAAAGTGACATTCGTGTCTTAATTTGTTCGTATATTAACTTTTAAAGCCATTCACGGTCCACCATCTTGGTTTCTTCGGCTGCCGTGAGACGCGCATGCGCAGGTTTGCATTACATCATAAACAGCTGAGGCAGTGCATCTCTTCAAGGCAGTGTATCTCGGCGTTACACCGGATCAGAGAGTTCATGTTTGGCAGACAATGTCATTCAGCCTCATCTCCAGTGTCTTATGCCCTTCGAGTGAACGAATTGCGAGGTCTTTAATCAACTGTTCCACGAGCACAACTCTCCTTTGTCCAGTCACTGCACTCTCAACCACAACACGGCTCAACTCCTTGGACATCCCATCAACTTTGGTGGAGAGCAGGTCGTGAATTTTATGAGCCGCCATCGTTCCAACTTTACGGTAGAAAAGGACCGCTCCGGACCCGAAAAGGAGGATCCCCACCACCAGAATTCCAAAGATATATACGTCTTTCGAATCTTCAATAGACAGGACCGACAGACAGAGGGGTCTCCACCAGGTCGAGGCAATTATACATTGGTATCTTACAGTGGTCTGGTATACAAGAATCAAATAACCTACATATGACTTTTCATGTGAGAAACACACACTAAGGAACACATAAAACACAACATGATTTAGAACTTTTTGTATGAATAAAAAACTGAAAATTGTGAAGCGAAAGTATCTGCACCTCCTGAGTACAGGCGCCCTGCCTCCATCTGTGTGTGCAGTGAGAGGACAAATACCCACAACAATAGCAAAGCGCTTTGTGGTTTGGTTTGGACTCTGGTGAAAGACGTAATATAAATAAGGAATACTTACAGTACATACTTATTTGTTTCCCCTGTCCTACTTGCACAACCAATTGCCTACAGATGTGGTGCTGACCTAATGAACCTGTTGACTAAATGTCTGCTGCTCTGTGAGGTCTAAGGTCAAAGGTCAAAAGAAAGTTGGTCCAAGAAACACATGCCGATCCAATTGCGCATTAATGGTGTAATTATTGACTATTTGTTATAAATAAGATGGTCACCATGGCTACGGTCCATCCGGACCAGAACCTCCCGCCATAAGAACAATTTGTTCCCCTCTGCAGTTGGACTCATGAACACTTCATAAACCATCACTGCCCTTGCCCTTATGACCATCACTTTACTGCACTGATATACAATAGACGTTCTATTGTATATAGTAGAAGTTTTTATTATTATTTCTATTTTTACTTCTATGACTTGTTTGCACCCAGAGCCAAAGTCATTCTTTGTGACCTCCTCTTACTCACAATTCCAATACAAATAATTCTTATTCTGATTATTAATTGGAGAAAAGGACGCTTCCAGGTAAAGAGAGGGAAAATAAACTTGCTGCATGGTGTTGGTTATAATGAAATAATGGTTGTTTTAACCAGTCCAGGCCTTTTATACCATGGCGTCATTGATTGTTTACAGTGAATGTAAGTGTGCTCCCCTCCCTGGCCCCGCCCCCTCTGTGTCTGTAGGCTGTGTGAAGCGTGCATGCTGGACCCCGGCTGTGGCTTCTGCTATCGAGAGAACGTCACGGCTCTTCTCTCTTCTTCCTGTGTGCCGGTCAATAAGGCGTCCACGGAGCATGCAGCATGGGGCAGGTGAGTCACCGCACCGCAGGGCAACAGGGCCTTGGCCACCGCAGAGAGTAAGAAACGACAGCTGCTGAGAGTTGCAGGTGTAACTTGAAAATTAGAAGTTCTTATAATGTGAAACTAATGTATGACTTAGACTCATTACTCTGGAAGCACTGGAAATACTGTCTTTACAACATTTTTCAAATATTGTATGTTTTTGTGATTTAAAAAAAATACATTTTTAAATGAGACTCAAAGTGACATATATCTAGCATTTGTTTGTTATTAATAAAAAAGCTTCTTACATGCACAGGAAGCTTTCAACACACCCTATACATTAAGAGTCATGTGGCATAGACGAGAGACTGAGAGACCAAAGCAAGACCATAGAAATGTACATTCAAATAAAAAGCATTGTGTTTTCAAACATCTGCAGAAATGAGAATGTGACCATATCAGATCTTATCCGTTGACATGTCATGTCACAATGTAATATATAAAACAAATATATGATGAAGATGATAAACACGTTTTTCAGTGTATATTGATTTATTTTGTCTCTTTCAGATGCTCAAACACAAGTCGTATGAAGGAGCACACATACTGGGCCTACAACTACTGCCCCACCTCGTACTCCTGGCTGGTTCTGCTGGGCTTGTTGCTCTATTTGGCTGCTTTTGCTCCTGGTAAAATACTAAATATATATATATATAAATTAGGGCTGTCAAAATTATCGCGTTAATTCACGTTAATTACCGTTTTCATTAACGCGTTAAAAATAACATTAAAGCTGCACTAACTGACTTGCCGCGGACTCGCTGGCCTCTCTCTTTCTGCTCCCCTCCCCGCACCCACGAAGCTATCGCCCCCCACACACACCCACTGTTGGGACAAAGCTAACGTCTCCCAATATGGATAAACCATGAATATGGATTTTCACGTGGATGGCGTGACCATAGAATGATAGAACCGGGAAGCGCGGAGGAACGGGACTTTCTTTTGGATGGCTGTCTCGCTGTGTAAGCAGTAACCGGTAAAGTTTCAGGTTAGCTCCTCTGCTTGTTGTGCTAACTCAGCCGTCTATGCTAACAGGGACCTGTATATTTCTCACAAAAGTGGGGGCCAATGGTCCGCTGTGATTGGTCACAATCCGCGACCCGAAAGTTTGCCGAAACACATCTCTTCCTTGTTTGATCAAAACTCGATCTAAAATATAAAGTCACACCAACACAAACCTGCGCTACTTTTTCTTCAAAAGGACGTATATCCCATTGCACTGCATGGGCATGGATAGCATTTTTGTAATGAATACGAAAATAAAGTCAGTTAATGCAGCTTTAACTGCCATTGACGTGTTAACACGTCAATTGTGTTTCCCGCTATTTTCACGTTCCCAGATGTCTGTTGTATCAAATATGTAAGGCTTGAGGCAATATTTTATGGAGCCAGCAGATGGCAGCATTGCTCTATGAATGGTTTGAAAACAGCTAGATGCACAAGTGCCTCTTTTTTCTCAGTTTTCTGGTGATTTCAATAAAACTTACCTCTACTCGACTGGGGATTACAGGGGAACGAAACAAGCTAGAAACAAAATTATTTTTGCTAATGAAAGTACACAGTCCATTCTTTCAGAATCTGGTTTTGGATTTCAGATAGTCATTGTACACAATATTCTGTGGGGCTTGAAAATTCAGTAAAAATCATCAGAAACGGCTGGCAATATGGCAGTACCTGTTCTGAAATAGGCTGGCAGTCAATGAGTTAACGCATGTCCTTATGACCCGCCCATTTATTACAATATCACTCAGAATGCCACGGACACGTGCGTGTGTGATGGTGACAGCGGTAACGTGGTCATATAATACACACATATATATACGCACAGGGGCCATTCTCTGATGTTGTGTGACACGGAGGAGGAGACACGCTGAAATGCAACCAAACTCGCAAAATTAAAGCTGGGGTACCTACATTTTCCCTTTCATTAACAGCTCTTGTTGGTTGTACCCAAAAGTAGAAGGTTGTGAGCAAGTCAAACAGATTTAAGTAAATTTGGTCTGAATAACATTGGGCCTCATTCACGAATAACTTCGTAAGAAACTACTCAACTTTCTTCTCAAGTTGTCCTTAAGTAGATTTCTAAGAAGTCCCCACGTGGGATTCATCAACGCACTCGTAAGCCGCTGAATTGTTCGCAGCTGTTCTCTCAGATTGATGAATCCCATTTCCTCGTAAGTACAGCGCGCGTGCCAGGTGCTTCATTAGCATAGGTACTTAGCATAAGTAACCGCCCACTAATGCCCATATAAGGGGATGCAGGGCCGTGTGCAGACGGCTGAGGAAACAGCAACAGGCCTAAAGCAAAGAGTTACACGGAGCAAAAGAGTCACCCTTTTTTCTTCTTTTACCAGACTGAGAATAAAGTTATAAAATGTTGACTTAAAAGTCGAAATATTATGATAATAAAGTCGAACTAGCAAAATTATGAGATTAATCTAAGAATATGATGAGATTAATCTCAAAATGTTATGAGCTTAATTTAAAAATATATTATGTATTATTTTAAAGATGAATCTCAAAATGTTTTGAGATTAATCTCAAAATATTTTGGACCCTGGGAGGAGATCCAGCGCGGACCAGCGCTGAGACCAATGCAGACCCGAGGAGAGACTGGAGTGACCAGCACACAGAAACCAGCGCGGACCTATAGGAGAGACCGCATAGACTGGAGTGACCTGACTGGAGAGACCGTTGCGCAGAGACCAGCGCGGACCGAAGATAGACCGCATAGACCAGACTTGAGAGACCAGCGCGGACCCGTATGGATCCAGGAGCATGCAGCACGGACCCGTATGGAGAGACCAGTGCAGACCCGTATTTGGGAGAGACCAGTGCAGACCCGTCTAGATCCATGGGAGAGACCAGTGCAGACCAGTATAGATCCATGGGAGAGACCAGTGCAGACCCGTATATGGGAGAGACCAGTGCAGACCCGTATAGATCCATAGGAGAGACCAGCGCAGAGACTCAGCGCGGACCCAGTAACCTCCTGCAGCAGCAGTATATATGCCGTTGTTCTGTGGCCCGTGGATAAAGAAATGCCCCCTATAAATAGGAAGGGGTCACTAATACACGGCAAGATTTCCAATGTATTTGATAAAGCGTTGGCACATTTCATTTCAAAATGAATTAAAAAGTAGGCCAGATCTGCAGTGAAAAAGGCGGTATATAAATAAAGATTACTAATAAAGATTACTACAAATAAATAAATACATACATCGATATGACGGACATATCACTGGAATGTTGTATTTTTATTCAACTTCACCAAAGAGGACAACCCCGGCGTGTGAACATGTCGGCACTGAATGCGTACGAGTGCTCCTGAGGACTCGTAGGATTTGTACTTGCCCAAGAGAAATTCTGGTTACGAGAAATATTCGTGAATGCCACTTTCTTCGTAAAAACCGCGTACTGTAAGTAGGATTTACGTACAAATCTGTTCCTAAGAACCTTTTGTGAATGAGGCCCAATGTGTCATTACATTTGAAAATCTCATTTAACTTCAATTGGAGTGGATTTGAAATAGAATGTAAAAAATGCGATTAATCGTGAGTTAACTCATCTCATTACTATGCGATTAATCAACTAAAAAAAATTTATCGTTTGACAGCCCTAATATAAATATATTATTCAAACCATAGATAAAAGCGTTGGCCTCCTTGAACTTTGAATTGACATGTTGTTAGGTCCACTGGTTCTTCTGATCTGTTTGTCCACATCCCTACATATTATGATTTGTGCTTAAATCATTCAAATAATGTGTATTCGCTTCTCAGCAAGAAGGTCCCTGTGTCTGTGTAGGTTTCCTCCGGTTGATCTGTTTTCCCAACAAATAAAAATATGTACATTAGGTAATATCCTCCTATGGTTCTGAGCAATCAGAGCATCTTGATATTGAGACATGGGGGACCTGGCGCTGCACTGTAGTCACCACTGCTCCTGACGTAGTCGGATGGGGCAAATATAGATTACAAATTGTCCTGCAAGATCCTATAGGGGTCAAGTTCCTGTAGGTGTAAAAGTACAGTGCCTTGCGAAAGTATTCGGCCCCCTTGAACCTTTCAACATTTTGCCACATTTCAGGCTTCAAACATAAAGATATAAAAATTAAATTTTTTGTCAAGAATCAACAACAAGTGGGACACAATCGTGAAGTGGAACGAAATTTATTGGATAATTTAAACGTTTTTAACAAATAAAAAACTGAAAAGTGGGGCGTGCAATATTATTCGGCCCCCTTGCGCTAATACTTTGTAGCGCCACCTTTTGCTGCAATTACAGCTGCAAGTCGCTTGGGGTATGTCTCTATCAGTTTTGCACATCGAGAGACTGGAATTCTTGCCCATTCTTCCTTGCAAAACAGCTCGAGCTCAGTGAGGTTGGATGGAGAGCGTTTGTGAACAGCAATCTTCAGCTCTTTCCACAGATTCTCGATTGGATTCAGGTCTGGACTTTGACTTGGCCATTCCAACACCTGGATACCTCTATTTGTGAACCATTCCATTGTAGATTTGGCTTTATGTGTTGGGTCATTGTCCTGTTGGAAGATAAATCTCCGTCCCAGTCTCAGGTCTTTTGCAGACTCCATCAGGTTTTCTTCCAGAATGGTCCTGTATTTGGCTCCATCCATCTTCCCATCAATTTTAGCCATCTTCCCTGTCCCTGCTGAAGAAAAGCAGGCCCAAAGCATGATGCTGCCACCACCATGTTTGACAGTGGGGATGGTGTGTTCAGGGTGATGAGCTGTGTTGCTTTTACGCCAAACAAATCGTTTTGCATTGTGGCCAAAAAGTTCAATTTTGGCTTCATCTGACCAGAGCACCTTCTTCCACATGTTTGGTGTGTCTCCCAGGTGGCTTGTGGCAAACTTTAAACGAGTCTTTTTATGGATATCTTTGAGAAATGGCTTTCTTCTTGCCACTCTTCCATAAAGGCCAGATTTGTGCAGCGCACGACTGATTGTTGTCCTATGGACAGACTCTCCCACCTCAGCTGTAGTTATCTGCAGTTCATCCAGAGTGATCATGGGCCTCTTGGCTACATCTCTGATCAGTCTTCTCCTTGTTTGAGATGAAAGTTTGGAGGGACGGCCGGGTCTTGGTAGATTTGCAGTGGTCCGATACTCCTTCCATTTCAATATAATTGCTTTCACAGTGCTCCTTGAGATGTTTAAATCTTTTTGTATCCAAATCCGGCTTTAAACTTTAACAACAGTATCTCGGACCTGCCTGGTGTGTTCCTTTGTCTTCATGGTTCTCTCTGCGCTTTAAACAGAACCCTGAGACTATCAAAGAGCAGGTGCATTTATACGGAGACCTGATTACACACAGGTGCATTCTATTTATCATCATCAGTCATTTAGGACAACATTGGATCATTCAAAGATCCTCAATGAACTTCTGGAGTGAGTTTGCTGCACTGAAAGTAAAGGGGCCGAATAATATTGCACGCACCACTTTTCAGTTTTTTATTTGTTAACAAAGTTTAAAAATATCCAATAAATTTCGTTTCACTTCACGATTGTGTCCCACTTGTTGATTCATGACAAAAAAATTATATTTTATTTCTTTATGTTTGAAGCCTGAAATGTGGCGAAATGTTGAAAGGTTCAAGGGGGCTGAATACTTTCGCAAGGCACTGTACATATTATATGTCGGAGATAAAAATGTGGCCCTTTTGAGCAGGTATGGGCCCAATGCCGTGGACCATTAACTCTGAGATCTACCCTCTGTGGGCAAGGAGCACGGGAAATGCCTGTGCAGCCGGGGTCAACTGGACCTTCAACGTGCTGGTGTCCCTGACCTTCCTGCACCTGGCCCAGTACTTCACCTACTACGGTAAGGCCACTGACTTTTTATTAGAGAGGAAAGAGTAGGCAAATACATGCAATAATGATCAATGGAAAACCATGCTTTTATCAGTTATTTGAATATAGCCAAGACAGATCCCCCTTATAGGAATATTTATTTACACAAGTTTACTCCTTGGACACCAGATGAGTGACCTACATACGTAGTGCTAAAGCAGATCAAATTGACAAACCATGTGTCAAACTTGCAACACTCCATTGAAGTTATGTCATTTCGATCAGTCTGTCAATGATGCTCCCAGACATCATTCACGCTGCCTGCTCTCATGCATCACCCAGACACACAATCTCGTGAAACAGCGTCATTCTTCTTACCTAACCCCGGGACCAAGCAGCAGGGAGGACTCTCAAACAGGAAACACATATGGTTTTGAGCAGATCAATCAATGGGACTCCCCATGAGTAACGATCGCTATGAAACCAGACTCACTATATCGAGGAAAATCCATGAATAGCTGTTATAACGTTATTAGCTTTTAGTTCTCCTGGGAAAGTCAAACATTATATAAACAGAACAAAAAATCTAAAGAAATAATCAAAGATGCAAAAGGGGAGTCATAAACTTTCCTTGAAGAAAATGATTGAGACCATGGTAAATCAGGGAAGCCGAAAAACAGTTGCGGCCCTCAACAGAATTAATTTGACCCCTGGGGTACATGAAATAGGGGTATGTCTATATTGACACACTATGTTTTTGATTTGGGGGTTAGAATCTCCAACTTTAGTTTAATGAAATAAGAATTAAGTGTAAGTGTAAAATCTTGGAATTTAGCCAAATAAGAAGAAAGTATAAAGTCTCTTTCTTTAGTATAATAAATCATAAAAAAGCTTCATCTCTGGGATTGTTGAAGTCCAGGCTGAAAACTGCTCCATTTGGCTGTGCATATGACTACATTTTAAATATTGAGTTTAAATACATAATTTGAATTCTGACATTGACTTTTGTTTTTATTTCATTAAAATTATGTTTCATATTTGTGATAAAAGTGTATGATTGCATGTCATGTGACTTGGATATAGTTTTATATCCTTTTTAACCTAAAGCTACAGGTATTACATGGGTTTTATAATGATAATTGGACTGTGGACTGCACCACCTGCAGGAGAATGAGGGGCTGGTGCTATGTGTACTGGGTGCAGCTCTGTCACCCCCCGACCCAGAGATGAATTAAGGGGAAGAAAATGGATGCATGGATGGATTACAATTGGTGGAATTAGGATGACATCAGGATGACAAGCCTTTTTTTTTATTACTTTTGCTCAGAAAAATGTAAATGCTCTGGGTAAAATAAAGAAAAAAATCGGTCAAAATACCAACACAAAAAATACATAATCAGATGCAAAAGATGAGAACTTTCCATAAAGAAAAAGAGGGAGACCATGGTAAAACAGTGAAGCCTAAAAACATGTGCACCCGACCAGAATAAGTTTGAGCCCTGGGGAACACTTCCCCGCCAAAAAGCAGGGGTACTCGTGCCCTGTCTACACTGGCAAGTTCAGATGATTACTGTATTTGGTCAGAATAACATATCATTTCCTCTGAACAGGAGTGTTCTTCCTGTACTCCATAATGGCTCTGCTCGGCTTCATCTTCATCTTGGGCTGCCTCCCTGAAACCAAAGGCCGCCGTCTGGAGGAGATCGAGGCCCTGTTTGAGAACCGGTTGTGCTCTTGCGGGGTTTCGGACTCGGACGAGGCGCGGCAGGTGGAGTACATCCGCGTCAAGGGCTCCAACTACCACCTCTCTGACAACGACGCCTCAGACGTGGAGTAAGGACTTTTGTCAGAGTACAAGCCCTTTCCGCGCCGCCTTAGTTCACTTTCCATTCAGCCAATTTCAGGAATCCCAAACTCTGTCATGTGTTTGATGCAAATGAATGAATGTCTTGCTTTGAGCTCATTACCCTGAATTGAGAGTGAATTAATCCCAAAACTGGATGTTGATGTGAGGAAAGGTATTGCACAAAACACCCTACACAGACGGGGATATTTATGTAGTAGTTGAAAATGTACTGACTGCTTGGGGTGGCTGTAAAATCCTCACTCCTATTCCATGTGATATTTATATTTTTTATCTTTCTTGGTGGAATAGAACTTGAGTGACAAAACGTTGAAAAATGCATAAGAAGTCAATAGGACACACACACACAAAAAATCATTAATTTTCAATATGTATTTTTTATTTTAGGCCAAAATGTTCAACGCAACGGCATCAATCAGTAGCATCTCACAAAACCTTATTTGTCATTAGTCGTTTCCAAATCACAATAACAGCCTCATAACTGACCAGACTTGAGAGAGCCTCATTACTATCAGGATATTAGGTATCATATATTTATTAGGATACAGATTGTAAACCAGATAGAGATTATTTTATTAATGAAGACACACTATGAAATCTTTATTTTTCTCTTTTTAAACTACGTTACAATGCTGCCTTCTTCAAAAGCAGACCCGGAAATTGTTTGTCTTTACAACAAAAGTATTGCTCATTAATTAGTTTTGGTATTTTCTCAGATGAATCAACGTTCTCTTTAATCTCATGACTGTGATTGCAGCTAGAATTTATATCATTTGGAAAAAAAATTTACTCCTCCCTCGGGTAGTGGCATAGGGAGTATTTTTACTGGAGATAATATTTCACATTCTGAAATACAAAGTTTCATAATGGCCAGAAACACTGCGTAATATGTCTTCTTTAAGTTGTGTTAATAATCATAGGATTACTAACATTTTCTCGGTTAATTGGTGATATTTACCACCCCACGTCAATGCAATATATAAAGCCTATCCTGACCCAGCTGATGACTTTGGTGATTTGAGCAAAGTCAGGCCCCTCTCTTTAGGCAAAACCACAAATAAGCAAAGTCAGGCCCCTCTCTTTAGGCAAAACCACAAATAAATCAAACGATTAAACATATTAGTGCCTCTGTATTGTGATGCTGCCTCTGGGCCCTTTACATTGTATGTGTGTGTGTGTGTGTGTGTGTAATCCTGCTGGCCTGTTGTGTTCTTCTGTGCAGTTCACCTCTCACACATTATATTTAAAATATCATTATTATGCATCTTTGTTTGCATCTTCCTTCATAGCCTTATGTACAAAAATGCAGAGCAAAATGTTTGTGATTTTTGCTGTTTAAAGTGACAGTAGGCTTTTGTGAGCGTTTTGTAAAGTTTACACATCAGTTGTATGTAGCAAATGCTGTTTGGACCACACAGCAGCGTATTTTCTGTCATTGCCAACTGGTCGTACTGTCAGGAAATCTAAGAACATTAAAGCTGAGGTACCTAATTTTCAAATTGGAACCAAATATATTTAGATAAAGAGATCCTTTATTCGTCCCACAGCAAGGAAATTTCAGTTATATACATGTTACTAGTTCCTCGTTCTAAAATCACATGCACGTATTGTTGGCCTCTGTAACATATTTTTATCAGATTCGACAGAAAAGTATAACAAAAAACAGGACCACCCTCTTGGGCTCTTTCTAACAAACATGCAAAATGTTTTCTAATAAGATGAAGACAGCATCTGATTTGTTCATAACATTTTAAGACAGAGAAAAAGTATTTTTCGATGAAAGAAAAAAGTGAGGTACCCCAGCTTTATTTCATGCCACAAGAGAATGCAGCGAGGTTGAAAGTCGGCGTTAGATATTCTAAGAGCAAATGTAAATAGTTTATCATTGAGTGTTGCAAATACGTCAACACAAATGCACAAACACCATTGCAAACAGTATTTTATTATTTAATTTACTTTTTCAAATGGTTATATATTCAACAATAATGCAATCAACTTGTGATCATAGAGTTACTAAAATGTACAGATTTATCGCTCTTGTCCAGTCTATTGAAAATTCCTGGTTTATGTTTTATTGTAACAGGAATTAGAACTTTATGTTGTAAATTCAAACTCCTGAAATAGTTTTGTATTCACTTGTGGACTTAATGACGTCTGTTTACTTCTGTCTCCTCTTAGTGGTTTTCTATGTGTTTCTACTGTTGTATAACCTGATTACTATTGTTGGAGCTGTAAACGTTTTTGCTAGACTTTATATTGTATAAAAGGAAAACATATCTTGAACATCTATGAATATATGGGGGAAGAAATAAAGTAGAAATGGATTATTGAAATGTGTTGATTGTTTATTATCAGCAATAAATTATGGATCAGTAAAAGCAAGTATTTATAAAGTATGAAATGGAAAATTGGACCGGTGTGTATACGCTCTGGGTTTGGCTCCGCTCCCATCTGCAACAAAAACATGAGATATGTATCAAACAAAAGTGTTACAGCATTGTAGTATTTATAAGGTGCCCCTCAACATGCAGTTGTAATACAAAGTGACAGACGCGAGCTTTGACATGAAACATGGTTTGGAATTTCTTCTCAACTGGGACAGGGTCAAGACGCTCAAAGTAAAACATTGACCAAAATAAGGGCTGAATCAGGTAGATGGGTGGGTTCACAAGATTACTATTGCAACAACACATCATCAGTAGGGTAAAACTAACCTGTCTCACGACGGTCTAAACCCAGCTCACGTTCCCTATTAGTGGGTGAGGGTTAGTGTGGGACAGTAAGTGTCAATTATAGTATTTGGACTTCAAAAGGTTAAAACTCAAAAACAAAAATGTACTCTCCTAGATTGAAAAAAAAGATTCCAAAGGAGAGATTGACAAATAATTTTTTGGCAAAAAATAAAAAAACAGATCAGCCTCTGATTTATGTCAACTGTGACGCCAGTCACATAAAAGGTCATCAGTGACAAAGCGGCAGATGAACTGCCACAAGATTAACATGGCCAACACAACATCAGTAAATCACTTGATTTAAAAGGGAATCATAAAAATAAAATCAATACAAATCCAAATGACCCTTGAAAAATGTGTAACAAACGAGATGGTTTCAGTCATTTATTTTCTAGAACTTAAACATGAGGAAAAAAAGATGGTCTGGTTTCACATTTAGTTGGTTTACTAAATGAAAGTGATCACTTTGTTTCTACTCTGTGTCAAAAAAAAATAATCTATTATTCAAATGTGGACATCTGAAAATATTTAACAAACATACGCATAGCTCATTCCGTCAAAGGATCGCGCCTGTTACACAAATAAAAAGAGCCACTAAAGGAAACTTGACCAATGTATAAAACAGTTATGTTCTAGAAATTTCTAATGGACAGAAGAGGTATTTGGATAAATGAAAAACCTTATGTCTTCTGATTATTAAAATAAAATGTTTGGCCTTTTGTCACACTTACAGTATATATAATTTCAATTAAACTGCCAAAATGGAAATCAGCGATGGGCCTCTTGCAGGTGGTGGGTCCACAGGATGATCTCCATCATCAAACACATGGTCTTTCACCGAGGGCTTCAGGCAAAGAGAGGTCAAGTGTCTTGCCAAGGGACACAACGACAGCAGACATCAATGGGAGCAGGTGAAAGGGGTCTTAGGAGGATCGCACATGTGACCATTTGGTCTAAAGACCAATGCTTTACCTACTGAGCCACTGTCTTATTTATTGTCTTTATAGAAAAAGTGACCTCTTTCTAGAGCCCTCAGTCACAGACGACACAGTGCACAAAAAAGGAAAAGATTTCACTGTCAAACTCACCTTTACTTCCACTCCAGCCTTGTTGGTTTTCTTCTTTTCCTGCTCACTCACGCTTTCCTACAGTGAAAATCTCCATCCACGATTCTTCTCTGCTCTTTTGTGCTGCCGTGGTTTCTCTCGTTGTCTGATCAGTGTGCATGGCCTGTCCCCTTGTGGACAAAGGCGGAACTGAAGAAGGCTCAACATGTGGAGAATACTGGTTCAGCACCGAGCGCTGTGTTGGAGGTGCTTGTATTAAACTACATTGAATTACAGCGTCACACGTGTCAGCCATATCAAAGCTATCTGTCTGTGTTCCTATTTCACATGTTTCAAGACGTTTTCTCCAGCACTGACATCCTGCAGGACGTAAACTCCACTGGCTGCCATTTTGAGCAGTGAGTTCATCAGGACATTCTCTAACTTCCTCTGTCATTTTCAGTCTGCGTTTCAAAGGTGGACAAAGAGGCAATTTCTGTGAGGTCCACAGAGAGGGTCGGTTACATTCTGCAGATGAGAAAGTCTTCACAAGGGACTCTGCACATGTGTCCCCCTCCTGGGCAGGAAAGGATAAGAAAAAACAGTGGTGACCTTTTGTTCTTGCAATATACACAGAGCAATGACAGTAATAATATAGGACGCACTCAAAACAACATGAACTAGAAAAGTACACAGGTAAAACAGAGTAGTAAAGTTCACTGAGCCATAGCACATTATAACTATTGTACGGCCTGACAGCGGCAGAAAGTACAAATAATCTTAATACAGGGGCTTTGAAATGTCACACAAAGTATACATAGTTTATTTATAATCATTGAATTGCAATGTGTTGTGACATCTTGATGTTTTATTGAAGCTGCAGTATTGAATTATTTTTTTAAACCCACTAGGACCTGTATTGATATTATTGACGTATTTGTTTTTGTTTGGGTTGGACACCAAAACAAAGGAAAACGTATCAATACATATAGTCTTTTCTAGCAATTAAAGCACAAGCCAGAATATGAAAACAAAGCCACATTGAACCAGAGAATATTGTTAAAATGTCCCATCATGCATGTCCCACCAAAAGATAGAACACTTGTTTTTGTAGTTTGTTTCATTAGCATGTTCCTATCACACTACAAACACACAAACCAACTCAAAAAAAGTCATTTTAAATGAGAGTAGTTAGTGAGTTATACAGTGACACTTGAATGATTATAGTATTGTTCAAAAGTCCATTTACTCCTGTAATTCAACTAACATTGTGAAACTAATAATTGACAGACTCACTCATATAAAGTGAGATATATCAAGCCTTTGTTTGTTATAAAGTTGATTATTGTAAAACCTCTCAGAAAGTAGAATTAATTCAAAATGACCATAATCATCAAATGTATAACAAACAAAGGCTGGGCATCTAAGGAGTCTATTGCATATTTTGGTTACACATATAAGATAACTTAGAGAATTAGAAACCTTTCACTTGTAAAAATGTTTTTGCACAAATCCTGTATATACCTGTGAGGAGAGAACATGATGCTTTTACGTGACGGTGGGAGAGGGGGGGTGGGGGTTGGTGTGTTGCCTTAAGTGTTATGGTGTATGTGTTGGTTTTAAATACACGTGAAAATCAGAAATTGTTAAAAAGTATTTATTTATCTAATTGATTGACTGCGGAACCTTCCGCAGTCAACCATTGGTTTTGTATTTCTTTATTCCGTCATTTTTTTTGACACGTTTCACAGCTTTCACATTTTCAACAATTTCCACAAGTTATACATCAAAACGTTCCACATGTTTGGGAGATTATTGCTATTACTTTTGGGACTTCAGCGATTTCCGGTTTTTCCGCAATCGGACAAAAATCTGCATTGAGAATTCTGCAATGCATTTTAATAGGCCCATGCATTTTAATAGGACTTCAGCTCTTTCAGACATTTCTACAGTTTCAATGATTCAACAGTTTCAAGGATTCAACAGTTTCAAGGATTTCAGCAGTTTCAAGATTTCAAGAGTTTCAAGGACTTCAACAGTTTCAAGGACTTCAGCAGTTTCAAGGACTTCAGCAGTTTCAAGGACTTCAGCAGTTTCAAGGACTTCAGTGTAATCATGCAACCTAATAGGGATTTTTCCATGTAAACCAGTATAATGCAACTTAATAGGGATTTTTCCATGTAAACCAGTATAATGCAACTTAATAGGGTTTTTTCATGTAAACCAGTATAATGCAACTTAATAGGGTTTTTTTTCATGTAAACCAGTATAATGCAACTTAATGGGGATTTTTCCATGTAAACCAGTATAATGCAACTTAATAGGGGTTTTTACATGTAAACCAGTATAATGCAACTTAATAGGGTTTTTTCCATGTAAACCAGTATAATGCAACTTAATAGGGTTTTTTCCATGTAAACCAGTATAATGCAACTTAATAGGGTTTTTTCCATGTAAACCAGTACAATGCAACTTAATAGGGATTTTTCCATGTAAACCAGTATAATGCAACTTAATAGGGTTTTTTACATGTAAACCAGTATAATGCAACTTAATGGGGATTTTTCCATGTAAACCAGTATTATGCAACTTAATAGGGATTTTTCCATGTAAACCAGTATAATGCAACTTAATAGGGATTTTTCCTTGTAAACCAGTATAATGCAACTTAATAGGGTTTTTTTCATGTAAACCAGTATAATGCAACTTAATGGGGATTTTTCCATGTAAACCAGTATTATGCAACTTAATAGGGATTTTTCCATGTAAACCAGTATAATGCAACTTAATAGGGTTTTTACATGTAAACCAGTATAATGGAACTTAATAGGGGTTTTTACATGTAAACCAGTATAATGGAACTTAATAGGGGTTTTTACATGTAAACCAGTATAATGCAACTTAATAAGGATTTTTACATGTAAACCACTATAATGTAACCTAATAGGGGTTTTTACATGTAAACCAGTATAAAGCAACTTAATAGGGATTTGTACATGTAAACCAGTATAATGCAACCTAATAGGGATTTTTCCATGTAAACCAGTATAATGCAACTTAATAGAGATTTTTCCATGTAAACCAGTATAATGCAACTTAATAGGGATTTTTCCATGTAAACCAGTATAATGCAACCTAATAGGGATTTTTCCATGTAAACCAGTATAATGCAACCTAATAGGGATTTTTCCATGTAAACCAGTATAATGCAACCTAATAGGTTGCATTATACCACCAGACCAAGACCCAAACGAAGACTCAGACCACCACCAGATAATGACCACAGACCAGGTTTCCTTAGTTACAGGAACCAAATTGTTTCAGCGGTGAGGGGATTTTTCAGTTTCAAGGACACTTTCAATACATTCAGTAGTTTCAAGGATTTCAACTGTTTAAGAATTTAACCAGTTTCAAGGATATCAGGAGGTTCAAGGATTTCAGGAGTTTCCACACTTTCAACAGTTTCCAGGTTTAAAAAAAGTTTCAAGGATTTCAGGAGTTTCAATGTTTCAACAGTTTCAAGGATTTCAGGAGTTTAAAGGTTTCAACAATTTCAAGGACTTCAGGAGTTTCAAATATCTATCAAGTATTTTAACAGTTTCAAGGCCTTTTAAAGGATTTCAAGGATTTTTTTTAGCAGATTTCCACATTAGATCTGTTCCGCAGTCAATCGCAATGGCTTCAGCCATTGCAAGTTTCTAGTTAAACTTAACACTAGATATGATATAAATTAATAATGCAAAGTGAAATATGCACTAATATGGCTTAAAATGTATGACTTACAGTCCAATTTCAAAATATAAAAATGTTCTGCAATGTTTTATTTGGGTGCAATTATCAACATTACAAATATATTTCAGTTTGTCATGAGTCTTTGTCATAAATTAGTTATAAAATGTAACTTGTAATTACATTGTTGATTTTCAAACCAAGCAGACTGTTCACATGTTCAATGGTGGTGTGGTGAAGCTGCAGGATTGTAATAAACATGAATGTGGTACTGTGTGCACACCTACCTCATCACTAGAACTGAAGCATCGTGGGGAATACTGGCCCAGGTCCAAAATACCACTGCTGTTTCCTGGACAAGCTTTGAGAACAGATTACACTTCTATTCACTTCAACATTCATAATCAGGAGAAGACAATCAGTGAACAACAAAAGATCAACTCACAAAAGCTGGCATTGTCACACGATTGGAGCTTGAGAAGAAAACACAAAATGGAAAACGCAGCGTGACACTCTAATTTGTACAGCTCTTCTGCCCATCTTATAACATTAGATTTTTATTTCACAACACACTGTTGTCTTAAAGCTTACCTCACTTGACCACGTGCTGGAAACGATCCTAGTAAGAAACAAAAGTCATTTGCATGTATTCCAGTGTGAAGTGACATGTAAAATACAGAATTATATCACACTGTGGCCTGGAGGGCTGGACTGGACTAACAGTCAAAGACGGACTTTTGAGATGAATCCTTGACTTTAGGTTCTCCTCAACTTGAGCCACTGCGATGACAACAACATGATTCAAACCAAACAGATTTCTATGATTTTTTTCATTATGATAAATTATAGACCAACCGGATTTTCCAGCCTTGAAAATATCCTTGTCTTCTATTGGATCTCCGAGGTCCCTCCCCTCTGCCTCTCTGTAAGACACATAGTCACATGCAGCATTCATCCAGACTGGATCTCTTCTGATCTGAGGCTGGATGTTATCGGCCTCACAGTGGACAGGGAGTGCCGAGCAGGACTTGGGCAGCAAAAGGCGTCTCCAGTTGTTCAAACTTCATCTCTGTGGGCTGAGAAAGAGACTGAAACTGAATGAGCAGAGGAAAAGAAAACATAGTGAACAGGAGCAGGATTTCATATAAGATCAGTTCAAATTGAGTGTATCAGGATTTCTGCAGGGGTGGGCTTCCAATTTGAGGATGAGGTTAAAATATACAGCACTTAACTTCTATTTCCTGTTTAATAGTGTAATTTGACTAACTTCTCAGACCTGCACAGTCATTTTTTGAGTATCACAACAATATAAAGCTTGGGTACCTAACTTGTCGTCTCAAGGTGAATCAGTATTGTATAACATTTTGTGAATAATCAAACACAAAAAGCTTTGTATTCATGTATGTAGAAGCCCTGGGAGTCACTATTGGATGCATTGGCCTGAGAACTGATTGCTGAGGTGAAGCTGAGTGAGGGGGGCCCTCTCTTTTTCACTTACAAAAACAGATCTAAATATGTTTCTTGGTGTTAAGTAAAGACAAGTAATAGAGCCAAACTTAAATGGATTTGACTACTTAGATTGATTGCAATGTGTATGGTATAACAATTGGGTAACCCAGCTTTAAATAACAACTTTTGAAATGTATGACTTTAAAGAGCACAAACCAAAACAGGAATAATGTATAGAGTATTCATAGGCAAAACTCAATTACCTTTCTGGTTTTGTACCAATAATTACAACCCTTGCCATTACTCATGATAAAATAAAAATTGTTATTTTATATTTAAAAAGTTGATGACATCTACCAATATTTATTATTTAAAAAATATTATTTTCACCTTTTGTTCATAGGCAGTGATTCCCAGAACTACTTCCCTAGTAGAAGTCACTTCTATTGTGTGTGTGTGAGTGTGCGTGCATGCGTGTGTGTGTATGTGTGTGTGTGTGCGTGCACCAGATTAAGTTTGGAGCCCCCCGATGCCTGTGGCTCTGCGTGGCTCTCACTGCTTTGAGGTTCATTTACGTGAGTGGCAAACATTCCTGAAGAACAACAGCAACATCATCATGTCTGTGACGCATGCAGGTCACATGGCATTTAGATGGGAGAGTGACCTGCTCCTTGTCCTGAAGATGAGGATGCTGATGATGTGGAGAAAGGGCTGGGGGCATCAGCAGTGTGAGGGACATAATCTGATGCACTGTTGTCTGAGAAACCAGTCTCCAGCACTGGGGACAACTACAGTACACAAAGATATTCTACACGTTATAGGACAATAGTGCAAAGACTTAGGATGGCAACATGAAGGGACTTCAACTTAACTGACCTTGGAAAGATGTTTTCTTTTTCTTGAGAGGTAAAATGCAAGAGACAAGAACATTTTGTCATGAGACACAAATACACACACTATTTGTGACTCAATCAGATATGATTGAAGGATGGAGCAACATGAATTATATTTTCACATCATTATTATGTGCTTGGGAAATGCCCAACTTCAACTGAGCCAAAGGAATGAGATTAACGCTACTATTCATATCAACCCATAGATGTGTTAATAATGCTGCAAAAAAAACTATTCCAAATAAGTGGAATTAATAGAAAATCAGCTATTATATTATAGGTTCAATTCACTTCACTACAAACAAGTATGTATTGTATTTATTTCAACAATTATTAACATTCTCTGTGGGTCGGATAGATTAAGTATCAAGTCTGGATGCTTGTACCTTGTGTTGTTTATGTTTGTTTGATGAGCACTGCTCATGAGCTGCTGTACCTGTAGTCATGACAAGGATGAGTCTGGCTCTCCACCAGGCTGAGCTTTGAGGGTGAGCAGGGGCTCATTGGGAGCACCAGAGGTTCATGGTGTCTCTGTTTGAAAGGTGCGCGACTGCCACTGCTCAGGACAGCTACTTTGGGAGGACCTGCACAGAAAACATGCTATTATAAACAATACCATCTTTAATGTATTACTTACTGTATGTCTAATGTAAAGTTGTCAACAACACATCACCTTTGTTCTCCTTTTTGACAGCAATCTGATTGACAATAAACAGTGTGACCATGTCCATGCTGCTGGAGGACACCTCAGAGGAGTTTGGTAGAGGCAAACCCAGGCTCTTGAGCCTCTGCTGCACTTTCATCTTCTCAAAGAATTCCTGTGGATGAAAAAAGGAGTATTGATAAACACAAGAAAGACGGAACAAGAAAACACAGTATGGCCCAAGCTTTTCTTACTCTCTGTTTCTTGTCCTCTTTGAGCACAAGGCGGCTCCTGCAAAACAAATTAATAAGGCAAGGCAAGGCAAGTTTATTTGTATAGCACAATTCATACACAAGGCAACTCAAAGTGCTGAACAAAACAAGATAGCATAATTGTTGAAATGACGTTGGAGAAAATAGAAAAGCGGTGGCTATAGGTCAGGCAACTGGACCCCAAGGTAAAATCACTGTAGGCAACTATAGTTTCAACCGTTTCGACGCGCCTCCTTGGTTTGGCAGTTTTAGTGGATAGCATAGACTGTAGTGGATAAACGATAACCATGGATAACATGATACATCAATATTTCTTCACAGTGTTGGGTCGTACAGAGTGTTGTATAGTGTTGATGAATTTGACGAGTTTAATGGCATCTGCCAGTGGAAAAAGGAGATCCATGGTTTGGGATCATTGAACAATGTTTTCATTTATGTTTAATGGTGAAATGGTCATTATTATGCTGTGCATTTGCTGTGCACTGAAGTATTCAGAATCTGCAATTATATTTTGAATACTTTGAATGCGCTGGAAAACCGCTGGAAATCCAAAGTAGCTCTGAAACAGTTGTTGTTTAGTGCTTTATCATTTTTATTTTTATCGCTTTTTTCTACCTGAGATGCTGCTACAGTACAGTGTTCACGGTTTTACATTGGTCCAGACCAGAGCAGAGAAGATTCATGGTTCGAACCACTGGAGGAATGCAAACTTTTTTTTAAATGCTAATGAAGCATTCAGCATTTTACTTTGGATGAAAGCAGAGAAAATGGTTCAAACCAAGCGGCTACTCCACCTTGTGACCTGTCCTGCTCCACCCAGTGGCTACTCCATCTCTGCTGCTGTGACCCGTCCTGCTTCACCCAGAGGCTACTCCACCTCTACTGCTGTGACCCGTCCTACTCCACTCAGTGGCTACTCCATCTCTGCTGCTGTGACCCGTACTGCTTCACCCAGAGGCTACTCCACCTCTACTGCTGTGACCCGTCCTACTCCACTCAGTGGCTACTCCACCTCTACTGCTGTGACCCGTCCTACTCCACTCAGTGGCTACTCCACCTCTGCTGCAGTGACCGGTTCTGCTCCACCCAGTGGCAACTCCACCTCTGCTGCTGTGTACCGTCCTGCTCCACCCAGTGGCAACTCCACCTCTGCTGCTGTGTACCGTCCTGCTCCACTCAGTGGCTACTCCACCTCTGCTGCTGTGTACCGTCCTGCTCCACTCAGTGGCTACTCCACCTCTGCTGCAATTTTATTTTTGCTGCTACGGGACACTTGAATTTCTTCTACGGGGATCAATAAAGTCTCTATCTATCTATCTACATTTGTCCACAAGATAGTCCTGTCCTGACCCAGTCCTGGCTCAGAACAACTTAATTTATTAAATTAAGCTGTTAACCTCTTCGTTGGAGGTAATGTTGCATAACTATTAAATAACTGAAAAGGATGAAATATGAAAGACTTTAGTTTAGCGTGAACATATGTTTGGGACAGGAGCTAGTTAGCATAGTGCTGGTGAAGATAGAAAATGTATCTAATCTGTTCAATAGAGTACATTGGATATTTTAAAATGTATAATACAGTACCCAGGTGTATTTGAGTTTATCTTTTTACATTGGATGGGGCAGTTTTGATGTAGCTCCCTATAGTTTTCACCTATAAAATGTTCTTTAGCCTATTTAGCTAACTTTACATGTGCAAAATGCAATTTGTGCGATGGTATGATAAGACCAGACTTGATGGAAGAGCATCTTTCTTAGCTGTTATGACTTTTCCATAAGAAATACTGGCAGTTTACTAGCCACGTTGATGTACCAACAACATGACAAAGGCACTAGCAATTTTACCAAGGGTTCGGGTAGCCAGACCTAAAGTCACTAAGAAATAGAAATAATATGTTAGCTACCTTGAACCGCCAACCCAATTCATATGGCAGATGTTGTTTAAAGGGAATATATCACTACAAAGACACAATACAGGTTAAAAATTCAGAAAACATAGTTAGCTAACGTGTGTCATCTAACTAGCTAACGTGTTATTTAAAAAAACTAACGTGTTATTAAATTAGCTAACATGTGTTGTCTAACTAGCTGAAGTGTGTGATTCACTGTATCAAGGTGAATTAGTTGATTGTTTAGGTTTAAAAATACATGCGCAGCAATTAGTTAGTTAGCTATGTGTACATCAAAATAAAACATTTATCCTATAGTGTTTATAAGTACCGTGAACGTCTCCTCAAACTGACAGACGTGCACGTGCTGCGTACGTTTGGTTGTATCAGTCACGTGACGAGACGAAATGACCTGTCCTCGCCTAGATCCATGGCCCTAGCACACTAGTTTTTATCATGCTGCTATATCTTAAGATCCATATGCACAAAAATGTCCAATATAGAACAACGTAAACTAAACATTAAAAAATATTTTAATTTGTACTCATGTAAAGAACGTGTGGGCGCCTTGCTGCCATGGAAACGCTGCTCGCTGGCTTGACTCAGTTGCTGTTCAACCTCTGTTCTGAGACACGTGCACTTGACTCTCTGGATCTTGTTTGACACTTTTGTAAACGACTTTGTTCACATTTTTACAGAGTTGCCATGCCGATCTGAAGTTCACGTCCTGATCTGACAAGGCTCCCAATCTCTTCGTTGGAGGTAACGTTGCGTAACTGAAAATATGATGAATATTTATGTGAATGCATTATATAAGTAAGACTTTTGTTGCGTGGACATGTTTTGGGACAGGAGCTAGCTAGCATAGCGCTGGTAAAACTAAAACATGATATATATTTTTAAATGTAAAATACTGTGCCCAGGTGCATTTGAGTTTATCTATTTACATTGGATAGGGCAGTGTTGATGTATCACGATAGTTTTCACATCTATGAACATGTTTTTTAGCCTATATAGCTAACTTTAACCGGGCCTAAGCCATCAGTAAACTCAGGTCAATTACTATTTTCCTACATTTGCAAAATTAAATTTGTACGACGATGGTATGGTAAGCCCAGGCCAATTTAACTTGTGCAGGACTAAAAGCTCTCTGTCCGGAAACAGGAGAGGTATTTCAAATCATACTGACAATCTCAAAGTAACTCAATAGTAGTAGTAGTATATATAATACTATAGTAGTAGTAAAACTCAAGTCACAATTTAAAACAATGATATTGCAATCCTATTTTTAACCCAGTAACTAGTAATATATTACATATTACAAGTTTAGTCACTTGTCTAACACCAGTTTGTTCAAAGTGGATCAATAATGTCCTCTTTCAGTATGTCTTCAGAATGGATTATTCTTTCCCTCTGTTCACAGATAGTTGTGTTCCCAATGGAGCTCTCCATGGTACCTGCTCCACTATACATACTGTATATAAACATGAGTAAGTCATTGTCTGAATATTGACTTTTCAGTCTGCCTCTGCAAAGTTGAAGTAGAGAGCAAACTTCTAGTTGACCAATTCTGATTTAGGATTCATTATTTTGAAAGTGGCCTGTGGAGATGAATATGCCCTAAACAGATACTTGATTTGTTCCAAAAGGGAGATAAGAACCAAGAGCAAATATTCACAAGGATTTACGGCAAGATCTCAAAATCATGATCCTTGTGTTGAATTGTGTGTGTACAGGCACAGAGGAGTACGTGGATCATGGAGCAACTCTGAGCAAAAGAAACACATTGTCTTCAGAGGAGAGCACTTAAGTATTAATGTGAGGTCAATACTTGAGCTTGTGCTCTCTAGGTTCACAGTGAGGGAAAGATGGAGTGTGCGATTTACAGACGGATTGTTGCAGCTTCTGTTGTGATAAGAGGGAGAAAGAAGACAGCATTGAAACCTGTTAACATACAAATTAGTTTGTTAGTTAGTTCGTTCTTATTTAAGGACAATAAAAATTTAGACAGACAAACAACATAAATAAAAGTATAAAACACACAAAGCAAGAAAAAAGGACAAAGTACACAAAAGAAAAAACAACAGATTAAACAAAGACTTTTTCACATTCACACAAAAACGAAATATAAGTTATCAAGAATTTGTCCACACCTTTTTTGGTGATTTTTTTTTGTTTCAACAAAACATTCTTCAAGATTGTGTTAGTTCTCGGCATAATTAAGAAAGATTGCAGTATTTAATTCCTTTCAATTCAATTCAGTTTATTCTTGTTTAGCCCTAAATCACAACAGTAGTCCTCTCAGATGACTTTACAAAACCATTGAAAAGATATTTCATTACTAGACTTAAAGATGAAATGTTTCCCGATGAGAAAAATATAAATTTACATTCTCTTTATATTTTGTCTCCAAAGAACCCTATTAATAATTGTCTCCAAAGAACCCTATTAATAATGACAAATTTATCTCTACTTTCTGCAAAAACTTAGAGAATTTACCACTAACTCTAAGATTCTGCTTAACTTTTAACTTGCTGCACCATTGAAAGTTTGTTGGTTCTGTGACTGTGTGGTTTGGTGACATCACAGACAAAGAAAGGAGAGCTCTAAACATGGTGCTCTCCTCTGCAAAGAGGACTGTGAGCTGTGAGCTTCCTGTTCTGGAGGTTCTTTATAAATCCAGACTTTTAAACCGAGCACTTAGAATAATCAATGACTCTTCTGGCCACCCTGGAAAAGCCATGTTCCAGCTTCTTCCTTCTGGCAGAAGACATTGTTTGCTTAGATGCAGGACATCTCGTTATGCTAAAAGCTTCTTTCCACAAACTGTTTTAGTCGATCAATTTCACAGTGAAAATTGTTTACTGTTTTATTTGTTTTATTTCTGTACTTTTATTGTTGTTTTATGTATGTACTTGTCTTGTGCACACTGGGGACTTCTAAAAATGTATTCCAATGTGATATTACTGCCAATGGCAAATACATGAATCTGAATCTGAATCAGAAAGGTCTCAGCTCAAAGTTAATGTTTACATTATTTAGAATTGAATTAATGTTAACACAAACGTTTCTTCAGTTCTTATTAAAGTCATAATTTTTATCTTTCATTTTTTTTTGTTAAATAAGAGAAGTTGGAGGATGCCTCTGTTTTGTAGTGCAGTCTAACTTGTTCCCAGCAGATGGCATCCACACATTTAATGAGTGCTCCTCTGATTCCAAAATCAGTTGATTAGACAGGGCCACAAGGAAACAGTCTACAGCTCCACCCCACATTCACTCTAAAACCTTTTACGTTTGGAAAAAAAAAACAGTACAGCGAGCAATACGCCTCGATATAAGGCATGTCTTCTCACTCCACACAGAGATGGGAGTGGGATGTGTTAGTGGCAAGGGAAATCAGACCCTCTTGATGCGAAGCACATAATACATTTTGAAAGAATAATAACCATAGACTGTAAATATTAATAACCTACAAATAAAATCATATTATTGTGAAGGGTTGACCGGAAGTACAGAATGGCTTGCTTTCCGCTGTGCAGTGTGGCTGTCACAGACACAGATGAGGATGTAGCGGTGCCTGGGAGCAGCTCTTTTCGCATCTATGCCGCGTCAGGGCTCGTTATAGTCGGCTTGAGGGGATGGCTGTTTCCCGGTCCATCAGCACAAACAACTAAGAGGCCGTAAACATGTCGCACATCCTCGATGCTGCGACCAAAGGGAGATGGGAGCGCACCACCGCAGCCAAGAGAGCCGTGTTCATCGCAGCGGCCGCCTACGGACTCAAGACCCTGTACCCCATCATCTGCAGACGGATAAAGAAGCGCAGTGAGCCGCTGTCTGATGGAGCGAATGGAGCGCTCTCGAACGGCTCTGTCTGCTCACGGAACACGCACAGCAACAAGAAGGCATCCCCGGGAGTCAACGCAGAGTTTTTTAATCAGATCCTCGAGCTTGGAAAGATCCTGTTTCCCAAGCTATTATCAAAAGAATTGGCTTTACTATCGCTGCATTCTGTGGCACTTATATCCAGGACGTTTCTGTCTATTTACGTGGCCAGTTTAGACGGGAAAATAGTCAAAACTATAGTGGAAAAGAAGCCTAAGCGTTTCATCTGGCAGCTGATCAAATGGCTCCTCATCGCCATCCCGGCCACGTTCGTCAACAGCGCCATCCGCTACCTGGAGTGCAAACTGGCCCTGGCCTTCCGCACCCGGCTGGTGGACCATGCCTACCGCACCTACTTCACCGAGCAGACCTACTACCGCGTCAGCAACATGGACGGCAGGCGAGTGCTCCCTTGTCATCGTAATTAAACTGGAAGCTCTCTACCCAACTTTCTTTTGTTTCATAAATGATTCATAACAAACGAGTCATGTGTACGAAACACTTTGTAAACAAACCAGACCACTGCAGGTTGTATTTATGTCATCAGAAAACAAAGCCATACCCACTGAGTCAATGTTTCACGTTTTTAGCTTTGGACTGATTGGCTGAGTGAGGGTTAGTGGGTGGTCCTTTCATTTTCACCTTACTGTCTGAAAAAGATGATCTAATGGTGTGACAGGGGCCAAAATATACGTATATGTGGAGAGTAGGTATAGAACTGTGTGACATAGTAGTTATAGTAGTATTACATTTTATGGTGTGCTTTGTTAGGTTCCCCAGCTTAAAATACCACAGCCTTTTTGGACAACAAACAGATTTTTACCTCAAAATAAATAATACTTAATTTGGGGGAACACAGTTTTAGTTCTTCTGATATACAGTAGTTTAAAATGTAGCAAAAATATGTTCAAGAACTTCAAACGTTGTCTTGTTATTTACTATAATTATACTATGCTCAAATTAGTATCTAGCTTCAATACTAGATCAGTTTTGATTGATATCTGATTTCCGATGACAGGCTGGCGAACCCGGACCAGTCTCTCACAGAGGATGTCATGATGTTCTCCCAGTCTGTGGCCCATCTCTACTCCAACCTGACCAAGCCGATCCTGGACGTGGTGCTGACCTCTTACACGCTCATACAGACGGCCAGGTCTCGAGGGGCAAATGCGTCCGGGCCCACGCTCCTGGCCGGGCTTGTGGTGTTTGCAACTGCCAAAGTTCTCCGGGCCTGCTCCCCGAAGTTTGGGAAGCTGGTGGCAGAGGAGGCACACAGGAAAGGCTACCTGCGCTATGTCCACTCCAGGATTATCGCCAATGCAGAGGAGATAGCGTTCTACCGGGGACATAAGGTTTGTTTGTGAGTGCTTGTAATAAGCTTGTAAGTGATGAGAAATATGCACAAAATATACCTTGTCAAACTTTTAACTTCTTTTAGTGTTCCAACATTGTATTTCATATATCTATTTTGTTAATGGAGGGATAGGCATCAACCAGTAGAACAACAGGCATGTAAAGTAACTTTAATTTATATTTCTATTGGTCATCGCTTGATAATTATGGTTATTAAAATGAACCCAGTTGATTGATTAAATTAATAAAAGGGGATATTTGTGACCCAAACTGGACTCACATCATTTGAATTGAATGAAAACAATATTTTGGCATAAATACACTGAAATATTTAGGGATTCATAAAAAAATTATGTGAAATTAAGCTGGATTCTTGTTTGAAACCGCAACATCCAACAATCATGTTCTCTTTTACCTATAAGAGCTGAGTGAGGACTGATGTTCTACTTCTCAAAGCGAATGAAATGACCTTTTGCCGTTTCTTAATCAAGGTTGTTCAAGGTGTGTCTATTGATAGGAGCTCAAAAGTATGTAATATCTAAGTATGTAATAACTAAGTAATAATATCTTACACATTAATAAGCAAGCCTAAACCCACAGTTTTTCTTTAGTTCAAGCATTTATTTGTAATGAATCCATTATTTTTTCTCATACATTTTGTACGAATTTTACAACAGAAAACACACACCATATATTCACACACCCACACAGCACACACAAGGAAACAAAGGGTACAGAGAATATTGTAGTTAATGCATTTTTTTCATAGTAGAAGAATAGCAAACTCTTGAAACAACTAAACAACCAAAAACTTGTATAAAAAAATGGATTTCACATTTTCTATCCTGACAATTTCAAAAAGGAATAGATAGAGTGTGGCTTCTATATGCACACACACACACACACACACACACACAATTCGATTTTTGCCAAGATGGTGCTGCCCTCGTACTTATATCTGTGTGCGGTTGTGTGTCTGTGCGGCGGTGCAGGTGGAGATGGCGCAGCTGCAGAAGTGCTATGGTGCGCTGGCTGAGCAGATGCACTTGATCCTGTCCAAACGTCTGTGGTACATCATGATCGAGCAGTTCCTCATGAAGTACGTGTGGAGCAGCTGTGGCCTGGTCATGGTGGCCGTGCCCATCATCACCGCCACGGGCTTCGCAGACAACGGTGAGAGCACTGACCGTGAGCAGGTCGCATATGGGAGACCCAGATGGAAAAATAAAGATATACACATCCATATTTAGCAAACGTGACTTTTTTGAGCTTTTAAAGGAGCAGTATGTACAAATCTGTCCAAAATTGGGACTGTAACCTCTCCGTCTCTCCCTAACTCAGATATGCAGATGAATCCAGCTGGGACCATAATAATAACTGAATAGACAAAAGTTTTGTTAACAATAAATCTATAAACAACACCTTTTTCACAAAGATAGAAACTCTTTTTATGCCTTGTTTTGTCATAACAAGAACTTTTTAGTTATGCGGCCACATGTTACCAGTGAGATTAGCTTGACGCGGCCTGTTCGGGCAACCTGGATCACAGAATTTCTGATTGGTAAAACGGTGGAGGCCAGTACATCAAAATGAAAACAAAAACAAGATTTAGGGGCTGTAAAACTTATTTTGAAATTTAAATATCTTGTCTGAACCACTGTTATCAGTTAAAGAAGTGTTGGAAAAGAGCTTCTTTTAGGAATGCCTTTTGACAGATTAGAGTAATTTGATCATGACTAGACATGAAAATCATACATATTGCTAATTTAACTTTTATTTTTGGCAGCTGCATGTTAATGAGCGTCTGACGTTGGTAGTAGTTTTTTTTTAATGCCACAGCAGCTTCCTCTCTTTACCACATGTGAAACCTGCCTCCTCCACTGACTGAGTTCAAAACACACCAACATTGTATAGCAAGGCAAGTTTATGTGTAAATGAATAATAATCACTATACACTAAAAAAGATTAAAGGGAAAATTCCTCAGTTGTATGCAGAAGACAGAACTGTTTTTTGCCAGTCACTCTGCTCCTCAGAGCTTGAGTTGGTTCATTTGGCACTAACATGTTTCAGAGGTGCTTTGGTGCGAGGCCATGGAGAGACTTGTAACAAGAAGAGCTGTGTCTATTCTGAGCCACAGGAAGCCAGTGCAGGGACCTTAGGACTGGACTAAAGCATGGAAAAGAATCTCAAAGTCTCCTTTAGACACTATGTTTTTTATACTGGCAATGTTTTGTAGATGGAAAAAGCTGCTGATGTTACGAAGTTGATGTGGCCATCCATCCATCCATCCATTTTCTACCCTTTAATCCATTTCTGGGTCAGGGGGGTGGCAGTCAGAGATGCCACCCAAGTCTCATAGCACCAGCCCCTCACTGACCCTCTGCAGGTGGTGAGTCCACAGGAGGACGGCTGCTCTCTGAGTGTGAGCATAGCCTTGATCTTTCAGTGGGAGCTTTGGGCAAAGTGGGGTTAAGTGTCTTGCCCAAGGACACAACGACAGCAGTTATCAGTGGGAGTCGGTGGAGAAGGTGCAGAGGTGGGAATTGAACCCACGACCTTCTGGGCTTAAGGCCGACCTTCTGGGCTTGATGTGGCCGTTAAAATTTAAGTCTGAGTCCAGTGTTTCCCCTGGATTTTAGAGCTTTAGAGATTTTATTGCTAGAGTCCTTTTTGACTTGAACTCTGTGTTTGGTAAAGCTAGCGTGGATGGGCAGCCTCAGGTGATGGTGAGCGAGCGCACTGAGGCCTTCACAACAGCCCGGAACCTCCTGGCCTCTGGAGCCGACGCCATCGAGAGGATCATGTCTTCCTACAAAGAGGTGCGCACTAAAGTCTGTTCCATTGCCACTGTTACAGTCAACACAGGTTCATTTACCACGTATCATGGATATGCCATACAGTTTTGAATACATATTGTGAAAATCATCTTCTTGTCAGCCATGTGATAATTGTCTCCCTTATTATTCTCTAATACTTGCATCATTGTGCATTTTTGATCATCTTTATGCTACTGCACAAAAGCTGGGGCACCGAACTTTCTCCCCACTTATTCAATACCATTTAAATGTAGTATTCTTTTGTGTCAACAGAATGAGCATTTTACAAGTGCTTTAATTTAAAAGTAAATATACTGTCTGAACCAAGCCTACCCCAACATGCTGTATAGACAAAACCTTTTGAGTTACTATTTGACTCTTAGCAAGATTGGTACTCTATTTTACACATTTCTGTCTAAAAAAGTGGTCCGAAGATGTGAGTTAAAAAATGTGAAAACTAGGGATAGAACCAAACTGTTCTGAGGCTGAGGAACCATCATTGGAATGGCTGAACGCTGCCTTAGATGTGAGGAGCTCAGTAACACAGGAGGAGCTCGGAGTCAGTGGCGCGTATTAGCATATTAGCGGAACTCGCCTATATTTGTGCATTGTCTGGTCCTCCCGGTTCTGCGCAGTTGATGAGCTCCCATGATGTGTTACGCCAAATACCCGTGTGTGGCTGTCATGCACGTGCACAAAGGGGCTCGGCCGCGCTCTGACCAATCAGAACTGCTGATCAGAGCGGAGCTAGAGCGGAGCTAGAGCAGGAGCCAGACGAGCAGAGTTTGTGGCACTAAAGTGTGGATTTAAAGAAAACCGAAGGATTTAAAAAGAAAAAAAGTTCAGGATGACAAGGGACACTAAAATCCCCACAAAAGCCGACCTTTATGAAAGCTGTAGGTTCTCTGTCAGCTGAGGTCGAGCTGTTTTAGTTTAACATTGAGTTCTATGGGGAAAATGTCTGGGTAGCCCACGTGACTTTAGTCTGGTTTAGTCTGCAGTACCGCGAGAATCCCGCGACATGGGTCCTTCAGCTCCTAGCAAGTACTACCCTATCCAGTTATCATAATAGAATGCTCGGAGTAGAGCCACTGTTTCTCCATATTGAGAGGAGCCAGTTGAGGTGGCCTCGCCTCCCTGCAGTAGGTGTTCCGGCTCTGTCCCATGAAGAGGAGACCACAGGGAAGACCCAGGACACAGTCTCTCATTTGGCCTGGGAACGGCTTAAGATTCCCTCGGGAGAGCTGTGGAAGTTGTCTGCATGGCTCGGATGCTGTTATTACAACAATATCACGCATTTCGTTTTAACAGCATTTTCCACCACAGTATTCCATGCTTTATTTGACTTGATTGTAAATGTAGGAACATTATTGGAGATAATTTCCCAAAGATTGAGTGGTAAATGGAATACTAGTTATTTAATATAATTGTACAAAATATTCTCTTCATATTGTTTTATACATTTTTGCTCTGACTAAACCAATGTACCAAGCTGTAAATCTTTTATTGGATAGGATTCACATCGCTGGAATAGTTCAGTAGCTCCAGGATATGACTTTGAACAGTAGCAAGTCTCCACACGCTGCTGTAGAGTGAGAGAACAAACACTGGCTGACATGTCTCCATGACATGATCCAGCTCATAGCTGGTCATTTACAATCTGGTTAAAGTTGTGTTTTTTACAATTCAAAGTACTAATTCAATCCAAAGTGTCCCAGCAATCTCTGTGTGAAGTCAACTGAAGGAATCACAAAGATTTAGTCTTAAAGTTCACATATTCTGCTTCCTGTCCTGTTGTAACCTTGCCGTGTATCTAGAGCAGCTATTTGTAATAAAAACAACCATTTGACCTTGTAGGCCGTGTGACTGTGATCATTTGAATGTCACCTCAGGGAAGTTCTCGAGAGAACAGCGTACAGTGTTTGTGGATGTTTCTTCAGAAGTATCTCAGTACAAAGTACACATGTGCATTATGTCATTGACAGGGTTAGCAGATGGTGTTTGTTGGAAACATTGTATTAGTCTGATAATTGCTGTGCTGTTAATGTAAAAATTTTAGGGCTGTCAAACGATTAAATTTTTTTAGTTGATTAAATCACATAGTAATGGTGAGTTAACTCACATTAATAGCATTTTTAACATTCTATTTCAAATCCACTCCATTTTAAGTTAAATGAGATTATCAAATGTAAAGACACATTGTCATTCAGACCAAATGTACTTCAATCTGTTTGATTTTCTCACAACCTCGTACTTTTGGGCACAACCAACATGAACTGTTAATGGACGGGAAAATTTACGTACCCCAGCTTTGATTTAGCGAGTTTAGTGGCGTTTCAGGAGGAGACACGGACACGCTCTAAAACATTTGTAAGTTGTTTGGTGGATTGACACCTTATTAAGTATGATTATATTAATAAAGGATTCTATTGATTACCTTTGATTAAATGATGAATCTATTACTGTTTTTTTGGGTTGTTAACTGCATATTTTATTTTTATTTTAGGTATAATATGATATATATACAGAAGTCTGTAGTTTTATCATACTGAGGAATATTCCAATCCAAGCAACAGCATCTCCATTATAACAAGCATGGATCTCATCACGCTGTACACCTAAATAACTTTAGATTTTTTCTAAATCTACTGATGTAAGCTTTTTTGTGGATAAAAAGTCCAATTTGTCAGATGTGCTTTCATGAATGACCTGTGAAATAGCTGTTTATTGTGCAGCTCCCCTTCCCCTCCATCTTTGCTGTCATATCACTAGGTCAGACAGTACTGGTGTGTGTGTATGTGTGTGTATGAGTGTGTGTAAAGTGTGTGCGTGTGTGTGTGTGTGTGTGTGTGTGTGTGTGTGGACAGTGTTGTGAAGTGACCAGTGGCTCTTGAGGCTTAGGCGCTCTGTGAATAATCCTCCATCTGTTGATCTTTAGTGCTGCACTTCTGTCAATGCTCTCACTTCATTCATTCTTAGCTCAGATTTGCATAAAGCTATGCATTAAACAATATAATAATTGTATATGCTAATACAAAATAAGTGCAAGTAAGACAAAATATCACAGCTTTCCCTCGTTTTTTAGTAAGTTGTGTTATGTTGTTTTGTGTGTGTGTTTGACAAGGGGGGGAGCAGATTGGTCTTGACAATAAATATAATCGAATAAATTATTTCCCACAATATTCACATGTTTCACATAGTTAATTGTGAATCTTAGTTGTCAGAATTAATTTCTAGTTTAAAGTACAAGCTCCGTTCCCCACTTCTTGCCATGGAAATTAGTTTGCTTGGAATTTGCATCTGATGTGCTCACTGTGTTTCTATGGTTGTGTGTGTGTGTGTGTATATAAATGTAAATATATATATTTTTTGTATATACTATTTCTTTTATTTATGTTTAAAAAAAAAAACATGTACAAAACCCATGTCTAGCTACAAAAACGGATTTTTCAGGTGGAGCAAATGAGGAATTTTGAAGTCACATTCTGTTCTCCAATATTGGTGGAAGTGTGTAGCCATGTCCACCCTGACATTTTCAAAGAAGAATAGGCAGAATGTCCGCTATGCACGCATATACACATATACACTCACACACACGTGTTTCACAGGACCAGCCGCTCTAGTGTGTTCATGAGGTTGGACATCAGAGCCATCGGCCTCAAGTCGCTGAGGTTTTTAGCAAAGGGTGTCTTTGGCTCCTCCAAAGAGGTTGCACACTCACCCCTTGTGACACTCTTTCTCCCATATGCAGAAAGATGCTGCTCCACATGGTGTTTAAGCTGTAACAACAGACTGTGACACATTGCACAGTTTAGAGAGAGGAAAAAAGCAGTTTCAACAAGTTGTGTTTGATAAATATAATAGCATTGTGTAAACAAGGTTGAACCGTTGAAAAGCATAAAACATGTTCCCTGCTGTAAGCTAGAAAGTGTTTGGGGTTAAATTATTACTCCAGTCTTCATTTAAGTCGATAACTAACTTTAAAACTACACAAAATACGACTACAGTATATGTAATAAAATAAGTCTAATTAGTCCCTTGCCTTCAAAACAGTTTGGTTCTTTCACTGGTTTTTACATGAATAGAATTTTTGTTTTGCTCTGTCACACTTTAGATGAGATTTTTCAAACAGAAAACTGACAAAGCGAGGACCACCCTCTCTCAGCCAAGCAGCTTGCAGCACGAAATGTAAAATAGGGACCATGCAAAATATGTTTTCAAAAGATTTTGGATGGCATGTCTCAATAGACCTTACTGTGACATTCCATGAACGATAGAGGCATTTTAATTATAAGTGAGTGTCTTGGTTTTTGTATTTTTGATACATTGACGATCCCCACACCAGGTCCTGGAAGTGTGTGATCAAAGCGTACATAGTGTTCAATGACTGCACTCATAATCAGGAAATCAATCCATTCATGCATGAATAATGGCCCGGTTTCTAATCTCAGAGTATTATTACTACTAATCGATTAGACTGGGATCAAGTTCTGTGCTGTTGAGTGCATCAAAATGGGATATATGATCAGGTAAAAAGAGAAAGTGATGACTTTTCTTGAATCCTGTCGGCAGCCAAAAAAACATCACCTGAGACATCAGGTGATGTCCATGAACCATTGCCACACGGGGCTGTGTTGTAATTAGGGGTGGGAACCTAAGGGTTCCTCAAGATACGATACACGATGCAAAGCTCACGATAACGATATTATCACGATAACAATATTATCACGATAACGATATTATCACAATAACGATATTATCACGATAACGATTTTATCACAAAATGACAATTATCAATTAATTGGTCAGAAATATACAATATGCCAATTTATGGCATAAATAAAAGAAAAAATACACTTTTTCATGATAACTGGAATGGAGATGCATAATGTAGCCATATATTAAGTATTGATACCAATAAAAAAGAAAAAATTGTAAAAAATAAAAAAGATTTTTTTTTTTTCTAAATTGAATTGCGGGAGAAAGTATCGTCACACCCCTAGTTGTAATGGTTCATGAAATATGGAGTTCTTTTAATCAGGAAGTAATATGTATACAGCTATGTGAGTTTTAATTGTATCATTGTTGAAAAATACCGTACAAAATAGTGCAGAGCCCTACGGTCAGAAATAGGCTTCTTTTAAAAGTGAAATACAATTTGCCAACATCACCTATAAGCATTAGAACTTATGATTGGATCGATTGCATAACAATTGAGGCAAACGTGGTGTGCCTTTCTTCTGAATTTAGAACAAAAAGAGGTATGGGAAGGCCCAGGCTATATGAAGAAAGCATATTTCTCTTAACCAGGCCAGGCTCTCACGTTTGTCTCTCTTGTTTGTTTGACATGACTCTTCTCTGTCCTGCAGGTCACAGAGCTTGCGGGGTACACGGCCAGAGTACACAACATGTTTGCTGTGTTTGAGGACGTGCAAAAGGGCATTTACAAACGTTCGTCGCTCACAGAAACTGGCGGGCCGGAGAAGAAGACCAAGCCTGGCATGCACATTGACGGGCCTCTGGAGATCAAGGGTAGGATCAGAAGAATGCTATGCAAAAACACAAGTGCAAATGTACAATACTAGTACTAATGCATATCAAAATGTATGCACTTGATTTGAGCCCGGAAGTTGATTCAAGTCTTTCTTATATCGATGGAATATCTAATGCATAAATGAATGGTAGTCCAATGCTGAAGCCTGTCATAATACATAGTACACCTGCATAATAATACATTGTATAGGTTGGGTACCAAACTTTTGATAAATAATACATGTAAAAGTAAAATGATGTGATTAAATTTGTCTTTATGTTTTTTGAGCTGAGGGAGGGTGGTCCTTCTTTTTTGACTTTTTTGGTCTAGAAAAGATTTGACAAAGGTTAAAAATGCATCCATGTGTTAAGAGCTTTGAATGAGTTTGGATTTCATAACATGGAAGTTAAGCATGTTACCCCAGCTTTAAATGTAAAATATTGCAAAGAAAATTTTGGAACTTTTTGTAAAGACGCCCTAAAGCAGGCGTCTTTACAAAAAGTTAGAAAAATAAAAAGTAAAAATAAGAGAAAAGCAGAATAAACCACTGAGGATATAATCTCATGGCACTAGACTTTGACCCATTCCTGATAATCTCTTATTTGAAGCTCCATAAATACGTACATATATTCTAATCCTTGGTTTTATACACCAATAAATCCCTACTTTCTCCTTTTGTATTATCAGGGGAAGTCATTGACGTGGACCAAGGCATTGTGTGTGAGAATGTGCCCATCATTACCCCAAATGGAGATGTGGTCGTGTCCTGTTTAAACTTTCAGGTGAGAAAAAGCATGCATCACCGTAGGCGTTACAGCACGAAAGAGTTGTTGCGCAGCATACGCACACAATTGTTTTCCATCTTCACCAATTGTGATATTTACACTAGTAGTTTTATACGGGCGTACGACAGACGTGTTGACGTGAGGCTGCGCCTAAATTGCTTGTATATGATCATAAGCAGGAGGGCTGGCAGGGTTGACAGTGATTCTGGATATTGCTCTTTTCTTTCATAAAGTCTCGCGTCCGACCAGAGCAGCCCACAGAGACCATGAGGACATACACATACATGTGATTTTTGTTTCTCTACATCAGGTCTCTGGCCCTTACTCTCCTCTACACTTCTCCATAGACGGCGTGTACACAGCCAAGTAATGTTACATGCATATGCTTCCATACTGTGAAAATGTTCCAACTCTATATTCAGGCTTGACATTATTTCCCATTAAAAGGCGAGAAACCAACAATATAAGCTAAATTATACAATGTGCCTCCTCTCGGCCTCTCTCATTCAGCTTGTCCCACAACCTCCGCACAGCTCCTCTGCCACCCTATGCCAGCCAAACTCCCCACAACCAATTTTCTTTTCAAGCTCATGCAATTCTCCCCTTCACTTCCTCAACACCATTCTGTGCTCCAAGTGCCACTCTCAGTCTCTAATCATGCATCCTTGATGAGGCCTAGGGGTGCCAATGTTATGTCATGCCAAGGATTTCCTTGTGTCACGTCTAGTCTCTCAAAGTTGAAGCAGTTTTTATTTGTTACAATATATTATTTTTATGCAGCAGGGAAAATAGAGGATTTCAGTATTTGCTATGAATAAACTTATGGGCGGAGTGGTATTAAATCATTGAGTAAAGGAGGAACCTGTTTGTGCATTGGTGATAGTTCTCACAAATTGGTTTTCTCTATTCCACATTCTTTGTTTTCCACATTTGTTTGTTGCCTGAGAAATAATCACGTATTTGTGAAGCCTGCTTTACGCTTATGAATGAATTTTCCCCTCAATATATCATTTGAACGAGAGTAAATGCATGATAAATGTTTCTTCCAGGTGGAGGAGGGAATGCACCTGCTGATCACCGGCCCAAACGGCTGTGGGAAAAGCTCACTGTTCCGGATCCTGAGCGGTCTGTGGCCCGTGTACGGAGGCCGCCTGCACAAGCCCTCCCCTCAGCACATGTTCTACATCCCCCAGAGGTACCGCACCAAGCCACAATGCATCAATGCAGTTCAATTCAATGACCTAAGGCTTTCACTTATTTAAAGAAGAAATGTTATACTCTATTATTAGACTTTTTACTTTGTTTGTGCCAAGATAAGATAAGAATTCCTTTATTCGTCCCACAGTGGGGAAATTTCGAAAAGTATATAATATTAGAATGGATACAACTCAAAACATTCATAACTGTTTTACTGGATACTGAAATTTCCCTTGAGTTCATGGGACATTTCTTGCAAGTTGCAGCAGTTTAAACGCATACCTCACACATTTCTCACACCCTAATTATTCACCCCTAAAAATGTGAATCTGTTTTATTTTACAGCTTTTAGATACCCAAAGGAAACTAAAAAAAAAATGTTAGCTTTAAATCTGATTCTACTACAGATTCAGATTCATTTATTACTTTGTCTCCTGAGGGAGAAATGTGTCTTGGAGCAGGGGGGGTCAGTAGCACCCACAGATACAGACATAAGAAATAAAAAAAGTACAAGTGTTAAAATGTGACCTTTTTCCATACATTGCATATTACAGTCATGATGCCACACCAGAGCGATAAGGAAACCTCTGCGGGGCGGATTCTCACTTCATCAACAGTGTGTAACTTTAACCATTGTAACAGGAGCGCCGCGTGTGAAACTAGAGCTCAGACCAAAGTGAAATATTTACCTTCTGACCAATAACACGCCAATGAGCTGCTCAATATGTTTGTAAAGTAGTCTTAATGTTAAGTTTTCAGCAAAGACATAAAGCACTTTGATACAGTATGAGACTGCTGCTTACAGCCTACATCTACTGTAGTTCGATCAAAAATAGTCTGTGACTAATGCTACAGATTAACGGTTCAAAAGCCTCACTTTCAAACCACAAACAATTACAAAACCTTGCTCAGCTCAAAGCAGCAAATAGTGACTCAATGGGCTCTTTCTTACAATCATGCAAAAAAAGTTTTTTACGTTTTTAAACGGCATGTTCTGGTATCATTGATACTTACCTTTTGCTTTAACAAAAAAAAATAAAAAATCTAGCGAGTGCACTTTGGGAGAAGACTCGGAGGAGACTGAGGCTCCATAGTCCAGCTTCAGAGGTGTATTTATTGCATCATGCACAGGTTATGCAAAGACACGCACACAACAAGCAGAGATTAGTCCTGTGCGCGTGACCTTACGGCGGCGCCATTTGACATGTTGTTGCCAAAGCGACAGCCGCTAGAGGTGGGGACCTCTGTCCAGTGTGGCCGCAGCTGCCCCGGGTCAAAACTTTGTGGCCACGGAAGATGCAGACTCCCGTTCAGTTCATACAGCAAACTACAGCAAGTGCCCCGCGGTCATGCACATATTCTTTATAAACTTGAATTCCCAGAGGACCTACATGCTCTGTCACCATCTCACACACTCTCATGTCCGCGGCAGAGTGTTATTATGGGATGCATGGGCGGATCATTCCGTACATGTGTCAATGCGTTAATTGTTTTAACGCGATTAATGACATTTTTTTATTAACGTGCGGTAACGCGATAATTTTGACAGCCCTAGTTTTTAGATATCAGGAATATACATCAGGAACTTCTGGCACAAACGTGTAACTCGGCTCCCTCTGTCTAAAAGCTCCTGTCTCAGTCCTTTGTCATTGTACCATAAAATACTGCTCATGAATTTGGGCAATTTCAATCGCATTCAATAGTTTTTGAAATGGTAATGTAGATAGCTTTTTTTTTTTCAGAAAAAAAATTATGGATGTTTTACAATATATTTAGTACAAAATAGGATTATCATGACTATGATGATTATTATGCATTATGATGATAATCCCCCAACCCAGAAATGGATTAATAAAGGGGTAGAAAATGACCAGAAATAGACATAATGCATAATATTTTCTTCTGCTATATGCAAAATGATGCAAAGGGCTTGTGTGAGGTCGAGGAACTACTCCTTAGTTGGAATACTTTAGAAGTGACTTGACAGGATCTCTCACCTCCAGACAACGGTTGATCCTACAACCCCTGGATCTTGAATGTAATCTAACCCAGGTCTACAGAAGACTGCCTCCTACTGAGCAGTGAATATTTTATACTTGGTTTGAGGAGCAGCTGGCAGCAGTAACACAATGCAACACAACTGACGCCACAAAGAGGACAGCAGCGGGTAAACGCATGTCTCTGAAAGCATTTGTTCAGTGATTGTATTTGGATCTGCTCCAGCCTTTGTCTTTGTCTTCAGCGACCAAAGCACCTAATGAAATGAATGTTGGACAAAAGAGATCTCTAGGGCAAATGTGATGTGTGCTTGTACTTCATGTCGGATGTGTATTTACAATGGAAGACTTGGAGATACTCAAATTACTGGTGTTTTGTAACTTAATAGAATACGGCATGTGACTTCTTTGAACTTTTTGGATGATCAAGTACTCTGGTTCGAAAAATAGTCTGAACACCACTGAACATATCAACTATATCAAACACAATCTCTATTTCAGTTACGGTATGTGGTCTAATACACCAGCACCTCTTTTCAACAATAAACTCTGGATCATCTAGACCAGGGGTGTCAAACTTATATTGGTCAGGGGCCGAATGAAAAAGGAAAGGGCTGGTCAGGGGCCAAAAGAATAAGTGGGTTTCATTTATTATACTTTTTTATAATATGAACTTGTTTCACATTATTTGGATTGGATATTCTTTTCTAATTAAGATGAGTTCAGTTACTATGGACTGACCCAAAACTGGACCAAATATTGAAGGTATTTAGGAAGATGTTCTACTTCCGGGTGTATCATCAAGACTATTGGTCCTCCCAACTGTCAATCATTCTGGTGATTTGTGCTTGTCAAATAAGACCAGAGACTTTTGTTCAAAAAGTGTGAAGGGCAATTCTTTCCTAAGAAAATTGGGGAATCCTCCTTCATATCTTTAATGTAGAAGACTCGTTAAAAGCATAACATAACAATACTAACTTCTACTTACATGTTGGCTTAACATTTCTTATGGAATTCAATTTTTTGGTTGTTTTCTTGAGAAAATTAGTTATGGATAACATGCCATTGTCGCCTATTACCATCAAAACTGCTATTTAATATAATAATTCAAAATCATCTCAGGGTCCACTGGAAATGGTCTCCCGGGCCGGATCTGGCCCCCGGGCCTTGACTTTGACACCTGCGATCTAGACAGTAGTGTGATGCCTGCTTCTTGTTGCTTGTGTGTGGCACAGGCCCTACATGTCCATGGGCTCTCTGAGGGACCAGGTCATTTACCCGGACTCTCTGGAGGACATGACAGCCCGCAGCCTCACGGATAAAGACCTGGAGGCCATCTTGGACATCGTCAACCTCAATCAAATTGTTACCAGAGAAGGAGGTGAGACTGGTTGTTGTTGTTGCAGTTGCTTTGTGAAGGACTAAAACTGCCAAATGTATTGAATAAATACATTTACACATTGACAATTAATCAATACAAATGCTGAAATGAAAAGATAATGCCTTATTATGTTATGTTTACATTAAAGCTTTCGCTTTTATTTCACGCCCTACTTAGATATTTTCTGTCTACTTTTTTGGCTTTATTTTGTAGATTTTGTCTTTGTTTTTAATATGTTACATATTATTATATTTTGTTTACATTATTTAACTTCATTTTTTGAGCCTGCATTATTCTTTTCTTGAATTCTGACCAAATGCAAATTTGCGTCCGTTTTCTCCGGATGCTCCAGTTTCCCCTACCACTAAACACATGTAGTACAATAGAGCTCTAGGCCGCTGCATCTGTGCGGGTTGCCATCTTGCCAATGCTGACAAATGTCTCGTCTCAGGCTGGGACGTGGAGTTGGACTGGAAGGATGTGCTGTCTGGAGGAGAGAAGCAGAGGATGGGGATGGCCCGTATGTTTTATCACAAGTATGTGCAGAGTCAGTATTATGGTTCGATTATCCAGATACAACTGTAAAAGAGGGAATAATGTGCAATATGGATGTTTTACTGTGTTATTTTTGCGTCTCATTTAAAAAACAGTATTCTAATATTCATGCTCCTTCACGCTCAGGCCTAAGTATGCCTTACTGGACGAGTGCACCAGTGCCGTCAGCATCGACGTGGAGGGGAAGATCTTTCAGGTGGCCAAAGACGCCGGCATCTCCCTGTTGTCCATTACACACAGGCCGTCGCTGTGGTAAGAAGCACCTCACATATTGCATGAGGCGTATACTGTTGAAACCAGTGGGGGCGGGTCCCGGCTCATAAGTGGCCAAAATGACGTGCGCTGACATACTTGCAATACCAACCCGGGCTGATGGGGCTGGACCCGGAATAAGAATTGGCCAATGCTAACATATAGTATCTGCTTACCTCTCGAAAACGTATGATGGTCTAAAAGTTGGCTCTTGGCCCAAAGCTCCGTTCCACATGTGTGTCAATGCTGAGGGGAGTGAATTTATTTGGACCACTCTAGTTTAGTTGCTGTGAATTTTTGAAGGCCCTCGTTCAAATGATGCATTTTTTCACAATTTTCTTGTGGGCGGGACCACATGCGGCCATTTTGGATAGCTCCAGTAGAGAACGGCTGATATAGGCGTGGCTACGTCCGTTAATATTTACAGTCTATGGTTGAAACTAGGAAAATTAGATTATTGTTCAAAAGGGAATTTGTTTCTCTAATTCAACTCTCAAATGTGAAAGGAATCAAATCTAGACTCATTACATGTAAAGTGACCATATTAGGAGTAGACTGATTGCGTGCTGATTTCACCCATAGTGTTGGCCTAATGCAGAAGAAGCAGATTTAAACATAAGCTATCTGAAGCCAATTTCTTTGTAATGACTTTTGTGACAACAGTGCTAGCTTTGCGCTTAACAGTGGCAGACAGAAACTTCAGCCTGGGTTTGAATCCCGGTCGGAACAGGGCTTTTCTGAGTGGAGTTTGCATGTTCTCCCCATGTCTGTGCAGGTTTCCTCCGGGTACTCCGGTTTCCCCTACCACTAAAAACATGTACAATAGGTCTGGCATGCGCCTCCTGTACTGGCGATCTCGCTCCCATCTCTGTGTTGAGTGAGAGACAAATGCCCACAATTGTGAAAGGCGGTATATAAATAAAAATTACTTGCTCACTTACTTACAAATGTGCCAATACATATGCCATATTACATGTACCATCCATTTTCAAAATGGATGGTAATATGACCATAACATAGTTAACAAATAAAGGTTTAATATACCTCACTTTGCATGTAATTAATTTGTCCTATATTAGTTTCACATTGTAAGTCAAAATAAAGAAGTAAATGAACAATATTCAAATTTTCTGAGTTGTATCTGTAAGATCAAAACCCAATGCCCCCTCTCACACAGGAAGTACCACACCCACCTGCTGCAGTTCGATGGGGAGGGCGGCTGGCGCTTTGAGCAGCTGGACACGGCCACCCGCCTCTCCCTCACTGAGGAGAAGCAGCGCCTGGAGTCCCAGCTAGCCGGCATCCCCGAAATGCAGCTCCGCCTCAACGAACTCTGCAAGATCCTGGGGGACGACTCGGTGCTCAAAACCACACAGGAATGAACAAAAGGGACCTTGTTTAATCTGCTGAAATTCCCCATCCCATTTTTCTCCTCGCTCTAATTAATAGAACCTGAAATGTGATTATCATGTGAGTAACGATGGATGATATATTTTTTTTCAGCTAGCACTTTATTCAGTTTTTAGTTTGAGATTGTGAGAAACCACTAGTAATTTACAGTATTTCTAATTTGTAGGGTTTTATAAGTACATTAGTAGCCTACATAGCATTTTTATTTATATTGTGGCCCAGGTGAAAAATAAGCCCCGCCAAGCAATCTGATTTGACCCACAGGACATCATCCAAATGCAAAAAAATAATATTACTATTGTCTCTTGTTTACGAGTTTTGTGTTGGCTTGGATTGGTGTACATGCAGGTCAGTATTGAGTTAAAAGTGGAGTCACAATGTGCATCCGGCCTGGAAACCATACTTACAATCTGAATAATTAAGTTATCAACAGCCATATTACTTTGTAGGCGCACAGGGCTTGACACACACCGACATTGCTGCATCTCCATTTACTTCCTATGAAGCTTGTGGAAAATGCGAAATACGTTGGTCAGGGTCGTCAGACAAAAGCAGTGCACATGAAAACCCAGTTCTTGAGCAAGTGTTGGCCACATGTAAGCAGGTGATGCCAGCTGAGATAGTTGAGAACATTTCAACTTTTGTTGCTGTTGCCAGATACGAATGAAGGCATTTGTTAATATTATCAAAATATAAACCTCAGGATCACAAAGAACTCTAAAAACCATTGATTTTTGAAAGCCCAAAAATGGTGAGTGTGACACAAATGAGGTAGTTACTGAGGTAGAGGAGATATTCTTTCAATGTAGGCCAGTAGCAGCCATGCCATTTTGAGCAAAAGTTCCCATCCTCAAACTGCATTAAGGCTCTTCCCGGTTGGGTTTCATTGAGCTAGAAAGTTAGTATTGTCCATCTATATACAGTCTATGGTTGTACTTCAGAAGTTCTATAAACTCTCATAATCCCTTCCAATTAAACAGTCAGATCTTCATCAGACACACGCTCCTCCCTCAACCATGACAGAGTCTCCTGAGCTATCGCCACTGTAGCACTCTTTGTGTGTCTGCTTTTTCCCCGGGCGCCATTTGTCGCTCCCCGTGTGTCAAGACCATTACATCTGATTCCTGGCTCTAGCAGATCATAGATAATTTAATACTGTATGAATAACTTGCCGCTTTTGTACATTACTTATGACCATTTATGCCACACCAGGGACAGATGACTTAAATCCAAATCGTCGTAAACTCTACCTATGATGCATGTTTTGGTGGTGTGTGCGACTTTAGCATTAGGCCTAGACAGCTTTCCACTATGGCACTGATTTAGTCACGCGGGTCTGCCTCCACAGCTACACTTTTCCGGCTTCATGAACAAGTACAATGCGCTGAAGAGCTTTAGTTCAAAGCAGGGGTCTCGGGGGTGGGGTCTGCTCTGTCAGGGACGAACCACTTTGGAGCAATGTTACATCACAGCAACTTACAAGAGAGCTGGAATTATGATGTTTCTAAATGAATGTCTGATGAATTTTAGAAGCAATAACATCCGAGAGAAGACTGGAAAGCTTGAGAATATATACTGTATGTATTTTTAGCTCTATGGACGTTTGCAGATTTTACTAATGGTTTGTTTCATATTATACTTAAAACTTGCGCTATAGCTTTTCTAGACCAGTACCTAAAACTAGTACATACACCCAATAGTATGTAAACTAGTATTTATATTGACGTATGTAATACAGTTGGGGTTCCACAACAAAAGTTTTCTATATTGAACAATGTAAACCTCCACGTAACATTGTGGTGCATCAAAAAAATATATTCAAATATTACTAAATTCATTCCAACTTTTTAATAGTACTGGATCATAATTAATTTAATTTTACAAGCGTAGCATTTAAAAAAAAAAAAAAGTAAATTCTTGGTGGTATACCCTGATGGTATACCACTGACATGCATTTGTCATTTAGAACGATTGTCTTGCAGAAGTTTTTTATTGCTTGGCAAATACAATCTTGTGCTTGTGGAGATAGGTAGCCTGTTATCGGATTTTAACATTTTAGACAAAGCATTCTCCAAAACGGCCTTTACATGAATGGTTTTTATTAGAGTTATGCGCAGTCAGACTTCCAGAACTATTTAGAAAAGTTTAATGCGACTAATGGGATAAATATGATAAATAATTACCATGGGTTAAAACAACCCATGAATTAGCACCCATGACTGGAGCAGCAAGTACACATTTGCACCGACTGTCGGATCAGAGATGCTGTTCTGTGTTGACTCAACACACTGAGGTCTGCTGTGGTCAGTCTGCTGCTTAATGATCTCTGAAGCCTTTTGAACGCTCGCATTAGCAGGACATGACCCAGCACATCTGCCACTAATCCAAACATGTCTAGGGTCCAGCCCGAGGTTTCTGGAGTGAATTTTTCTTATGTTAAAGTGAAGGTCAAGTTAAGATAGAAAAACATTTCTCAAAAGCAATTAATTCAAATCCTTGATAGACAGCTGAGGACCCTCTCCATTGGTCTAACTATTCCCCAGCAAATCTTAATGGTGATGGTAATGTCAAGTCAATATATTTATCAGGAAAAATACCTTCCACTGATACTTTTAGGTTATATGATTAAAATGGATATGAGATGACATTGCTTGGCCTGAATTGTTCAGTGTGCAGTGGTGAGCTTTGCATAGATCATCTCAATGCAATATTCTGAAAAAGGTAGTAACCTCTTTACAGAGACCTACTGGAAAAAAACGTTTGGAAACATTTTTTTCCCCCGAACAGGACCATGTTGTCTCCCATAAACATACTGATCGTTTGTAAATGTGAGCTTTGGTATACAGTACCACATCTTCACATCTAAAGGATGGTTCGGTAAAAGTGTACGGACTTTTCTTAAATTCACCTTTCAAAATTATAAACGCGGCAGGGAAATGATACTGTGAAATAATATGTGAGAAAACTTTGTACTTCAATACTTTGGGGTCCTCACGCCCAACACATCAGTAATACCACAATTTTTTGACAATTTATTTGGCACGCTTCTACTGTACTCGGCCATGTGTAAGATCAAGGACAATCAGAGTCAGCACACAATTTTCATTTGTTTTGTCTGTAAAAAAGTTTACTTTTTTCAACTCTCATGCTCTGCTTTGCAAACCAGGGCTGCAGCCAGTCTCTGTAGAAAGCCACTTCACGTCATTAGGATGCAAATCACGATGGGCCAAGATGAGGGTTGCTAAGTGACAAGAAAAGTCAAGCTCGAAACATATGTTGTAAACGATTAGCTTTTAACCATTTTACAGCCTTGTTTTCTCAGCATTACCAACCTGGAGTTGTTTTTAGATCTATAAGATCTACCCTTCAAAATCAGGAACTTCTGGCACAAAAATGTAACTGCTCCTTTCGTCTACAAGCTCCTGTCTCAGTCCTGTAATAGTGTGATGTAATTCTACCACTATGAAAACACACAGCAGGTTTCTGCCTTTAAAACAAAAGTAATGCCCAAGAACATGTTTTGGCCATTTCTCAGGTGAAATTACGTCCAGTGTTTTCAGCAAAACAAATTCTCTGGTGGTAGCATAGGGAGTTGCAGGCAGATAGCATTGATAGCTCTTATCAATACAATATAGTTCATACTTATACTACTATTATTTTACTCTCTAAAACATGAAACTACAACTTTAAAAGTATCTTCATCAGTTTTACCAGTTTTTATTATTTTCAAATCTATAGATGTTCATGTTATTTTGATAATTGTACGCCACATGAAGAGGTGGAAACATTATTAGAAGCTTTAAACCAGCTTGTTTCGGATTCACACTCAGATTTCTTGTTTTTAGAGTTAAGTTTCAGTCAAACGACCCTGGACTCAAAGGCAGACAGCCATCCATCTCTCTCCAACAATGCTTTAATAATTGATCAGCAAGTAATGAATCTTTGTATGATAAGTATAAGATACTGCCGGGTGTTGGATGACTTTTAATGTCAATCTTCTGTCAACTTCAGCGAACCTTCAGAAACTCTCCTTTTTTTACAATACTTGTTCTTGAATTTTCATCGGCATAATTTGAACATGTGACTTCTTGCACGTATGGCTTCTCAGTGCGACCATGTTGAATACAATAATGAAATCCGTACTAATTTCTTCTTCTTTATTGTTTTGTTGGTAAGAGATTGATTGTGTCCATAATGTATGATAGAGTATCTTTTGATTTCTTGGATGAATACTTGTGGTCAGGTCATATTTTTATTGTTTCATGTACTGAGCTGTAATTGAAATAAATTGTAGATGTTCACTTGCTTTATTTTTACATGTTAGAAAATATCAAGGCAACCCATCTTAATTTTTATTTTATTTTATTTAATTCTTGTATTGTTTGAGCATGTGTAGTTCTGGCGTTACTTCATCGAAATGCTGTTTAGTTGAAATCATGTGAGGTCACTATACTTTGAAAGATGTATTTTCTTGTAAATAAACAAAAGTGCAGCCTCAAATCATCTCTGTATAGTTTTTGATTCGATAGTAATCCGCTATTTTGATGTCCAGTGATTGTGCCTTAAAGGAGACGTATTATGCAAATGTATAAACCACTACTATACTATACTATTTCTCTTCTTTTCTCCATGTTACAGTATCGTTCCTCATCAGTCACAACCGACCTGGAGTTGTTTTTAGATCCATCCACTCTAAAATCTCAGGAACTTCAGTCACAAACATTTAACTCCACACATTCTTTCTAATAGCTACGACATCACACGCAGAGTAGTTTTTTGCCTATGTATTGGTCATAAATTAGTTTTAGTTTCTCAGGCGAAAGGACGTTCTTTACCAACGCCAAACAGTAGCTGCAATTGGCAATTTTCAAATTTGGATAATAAAACCTAATTCAACTCCTTCCTCTATATATAGCTAACCTTTAATGATTAGGACAGAATTCAAAGAGAAATCATATGCAAAGTCTGAAGTGCTGGATTGTAACTTATTGTGGGTGTCTTCTTATAAACCTCTATTATCACCTCTCTGGGTTTCTTGAATGTGATTTTTAATGCTAATATATGTTAGTGCTTGTTTTTGGCAAAGACGTGTGAAGCACTTTACAAATAAAAAGCTGCTATTTTGATCGACACTGTCTCTTATCTATTGATGTCCTGCAAGAAAAACATTGCAGATAATTTTGTGTAAAAATGATTGATTTTAAATATATCGTGACAATAAATTATTGGGAGTTGGGAAAAAAATTATTTAGATATTTATTTTTGTCCATATCGCCCACCCCTACTGCAAATATCAGCACATTTCCTTATACAGTTACATTCTGTAACTCTGTCTTTTCGCCAGCAGAGGGCAGCAGGTACCAAACTTCTTCCGAGCCTTACTACTGACCTGCCCTTATGTAATGAAAATAAATAAAACATGGCATTCACAAAGCAGGGCACTTTGTCTCTACTTTATATGTAGAAATGACGTCATGTTTCCAGAAAGGGCACGTCAGGCTACGTCTACAGGAATCTAAATGATCTCCTCCTTTACTTTCAATCAGCAATGTCCTGTTTTATTATATTGTTTTATGACTGTTTTACTGTACTTTTTGTTCTGTGTAAATGCATAACTAGGGACAGATAAATACAAATTCAAAAAACACTTCGGAAGTGGAGAATCACATGAGGGCTCCCCTTGAACAGAAAAAAACCCCACCACAAAATACAAAATACCAAAGGAACAAAACTGAAACAAAAGAGTTACAGTGAGGACATGTCATTTTTCAAAGCATTGTGCCATTGAAATAAATCATTAAAACTGAACACATAAATATACAATCTATTTTTGGATTATGTAGAGAATGATAATGAAATAGAATGGTTGAAAATGAAAAATGAGACTTTGATGTTTGACAAATATAGGGCTTCTACATTATTCTGGCAATCGATTATTCTTTGGGTTAACATGAAACATAAGCTTTCATATAGGTTCTGCAATTGGGGGCAGTCTTAGTTTTATTTATTATTTGTTTTAAACGAGATCTTTAAAGCACTATTCCCAGCACTTGTGTGTTACAGTCTATAGAGCAGTTAAAAATGTATTAATTACATTCTAAAATAGCTGTTGTTGATTAAAAACACAGTCCTCATTTCATTTAAATCATCAATGACATTAATGTAGGTGCATATAAATAATAATAACAACAACAACGACTTTTATAGACGTAATAATAATAATAGTAATAATAATACAAATAATAATAATGATGACCATATTTTTAAAACTCCTTAAAATACCTTTTTTTTTTTACCATGTCACTTTTTTAACTTAGCTGTAATAAGTTGTAATTGAAAATATTTGTAGATGGAATGATATCAATAATAATAATAATAATAATAATAATAATAATAATTATAATAGCAATAATAATAAAAGTAATAATAATAATAATAATGTTGATGATGATATTAACAGTGATACGAGTATACTACACGTGCATGTCCAGAGCCCTGTCCTAGTCAATGTCTTTGTACACTCTGCAGACTGTAGTGATAAAAACGCTCCAACCTCGTCCCCTCTCATTTCTGCACCGTAATGTTTCTCGTTCACATTTGCGCTGCTCTGTCACCGGAGTCACGTGATCTGTCTCCAGCACGCTCTGGTTGGCACGGCTCTGGGGGAGGAGCAGGCTGGGATAGTGGCTCATAGCGCACTGCTCTCTGCGCCTAGTGTCAGCACCGGGACGGGATGACCCTACACTGATGCCTGCGGACCACAGACCACCCCGAACCGCCATGGAACCCCTTTAAACCCACGCTTTGAACCTGCTGGTGGGACTGTCTGCTGCGCGGCCCACCGTAGACGCGCTTTAGCCGGGGCGGACTGGAGGCGGGGCCCGCTGCGCTCCCGTGTTCTGTGCGCCGTTGTCTCGTAATAGGATAAAGAAGAAGGGGAAAGCGAGCTATTTTTACGTGCACGGTGTTGGAATCAGCAGCAGCAGCAGCAGCAAGGCGCTTGGAGACGTGGTGCGTGTGCCGGCGTGACCATGGGCAGTTCACCAGACGAGAGCTCCGTGCGTGTGGCCCTGAGGTAAGGCTGGGATGGGATGCTTGGGGTGCACCTGCTCCATAGTCACGCTGCTGTGTCCTCTCCACAAGAGCTGCAGAGCCATACCGCGCACAATGCACTCTTTAGCGCTGAGACTGTTACAACCACGTGGCTAGTCTGCTTACAGGGACCATTGGAAAACACAGTCAGTTTGAAATGAGATAGTTATGTGTATCATAGTAGGGAAATGTCAGTTTTGCATGCACTTAACAGATCAGAAGGAATTGAAGGAGCACTCAAAACAAAATACATGAGATAAATAAATGTACATTTTTATAACAAAGTCAGTTAGTCATTGTTTACATTGGTTTTGCTTAGCCACAATCCTCTTCCTTAGGAGTCTCCAACCTATTGCTCTGGAGCTTCCAGTAGTCACAAGCTTACTACTATTGTAAATGCCTACTGGTTATGTTTACTCATACATTATAAGTAAACTATTGTTATTCTTATTTCCGTTCTCGGCATATGCATATTGAAATCCCCTATTGAACAGTATTAAGACAAAGTGACAAACCATTTGACTTATTCAGCTGTATTTTATTTATTAATTTTTTAACAATAACTGACCAAATGTTGCTTGTCCTGTGCTACTTTCACTTATTGGTCAGTAATTAACTTGGTAATAGTATGGCAGTAAGCAAAGAGCAATGTTGTAATGTCCAAATTATGACTTTTATTTTAGATAGTAGATTATTCTGAACATAATGACTTAATGCTGGGACTTAACCAAAACAGGACCATATAAAACAAAAGCTTGTTATTGCAAACCAGAGCCGCTCCAGACAATCTCATGGTTGACATCTGTGATGTACCCCATTTCCACAGACCCCCATTGGCCAAAACTGCTCTCTGGAATCACAAGCCAGAAAGACAATGTAACTTACTACATCTTAAAGCTGGGGTACCTAACTTCCAAACCACAACAATGGAACCATAACATAGTATTTTTAGGAATAAAAGTGCTTTAGAAATGCAATTAGATGGATTGATCTTTAGATTAGCTTTTTCAGACAGGAAAGTGAAAGAGAGAGGACCACCCTCATTCCTCCAACCAGCTCAAAGCCCAAAGTGTCACATAAGGACTCACAGGGCTTTCTTACCAGTATACAAACTATAACATGTTTTCTAATCAGATGAAGGCTCTCTGTGTTGGGACAAACAACATGTATTATTCATGCAACAAAAAGTTAGGTACCCCAGCTTTAAGACATGTTAAGTTATAATTGCATTAGGTGTTGTTACAACATTATCCGTATATTAAATCCATGTCTAGCCATTTTGTGAGCTTTAGAAGACCGCAGCCTGGAGTGCTTGCCTCAGCTTCTTTGGATAATTCCTGCTGTGCTTGTGCAGGAGTGGAGGCATCCCTCACTATAGATATAACCAAGGATTATCCCCAGGTGTAAGTACTGGGACTGCTATGAGGCTGTGGCGCACCACACTCATGCAAAAATGTACAATAACAATTATTAATCAAACATGTTTATTTCAGAACATGTTTAACACAAATTCATTGCACTAAATAACAGCTTTGCACTAAATAACAGCTTTGTTCATTTTTTGTTTTGAGGTGGGGGGGGGGGTTAAGGCGTTGGATAAAGCAGCCACTTATAAACTCATCACAGACAATACGATTCAGATATTGTAGAAGAGATAAGATAAGATGAGATTTGCTTTATTTATCTCACATAGGAGAAATTTACATTACAATTTACAAAAAGTACCACATACACAGACAGGCTCAAACACTCAATCAACTCTCACCCAAAAGCAGCCAATAGTGACACCCAGGGATCTTTCTTTCATGTAATTAAAAGTTATCATGTTTTCTATGAAGATGAAGAAATGTTCAAGACTCTTTCTGTCGGGACAAGCCACATGTTTTAAATGTACTCCAGCTTTTAGCACTTTATTCTGGATTAGATTCTGAATTTAGTGCTAATTTCTTCGGACATTACTCAGCCATACATTTGAAATCTTTGGTCATATCGCCCAACTCTATGTGTTTCTCCAGTGATTGAGCAGGGTGTAGTGAGATTATCATTGAGTCAATACATCTTGTCATTGATACAAAACTGCGACACTGTCAAACACTATGGGAAGTTTTGCATGTTACGTCCCCTTTAACCGTCACACAATGCAATATTTGTCTGAAAAACGATTGGAGAGCTTGTTGAAATCCCTCAATACACATGAACAGACCCATGCGGCTGTTCAAAGCAGGACATTTGAACTGGAGCAATGAGGACAAAGACACTTCCTCTCACATTTCTCCCCTGCCCCACTCTCGTACCTGTGCATTCAGACGTCGACCCTATTTGTAAAGCAGGTTTAGTTTTTAGTTTTTTTTATCTTTATGATGCATTACACTGGGTAACAAAAAAATATTTTCTGAAAATAGTCCAGGGTTTTCCAGCTGAACTAATTTTGATGCTCTGAGTCCGAAAATGACCTTGGTTTTGCTCAATCAGGTCAGGATTTTTTGCTACAGAAATATTTTTTTAAATCGATTTTGCGTAAAAAACAAATTTCTGCGGATCATCAGCTGAGAAACCCTTGACGTTTTTTCCGTTTTCCTCAAGAAAAAAAAGTCAACGTATCCAATGTCATTCAGTTTTTATTTACTCCATCAAATTTGATGAGCAGAATTCATAATAACGTAGACGTACATAATCCGTAACACTATGGCTGTATCTCAAAAAGTTGACCTGATAGAGCAAAATGCATGTGATATTCGGACTCAGAACACCAACATCAGTCTAAATCAGTTGAGAAACCCCTGACCATTTTTTTGCTGTCAACTTGTGTTATGTTCGCTCCTGTGTGTTTGTTTGTGTGCCATGCTGTGTACTGAGTTTGACCATTCATAAAATATTTTGAGATGTTTTGTATTATGCAAAGAGTTCATATCCAGTATGTTAGTGATCCGATAATGCAAATTGTTAATTGAAATTGGAAAAAGCACCCACAAAAGTGAAATTTTTGTGTCTGTGTAAGTTTCTTTGGACTTAAATTCACACAGGACCAGTTCATTTGAAGCTATCTAATCCTCATACCTTTTGACACATTTGTGGAACAAGTTACTATACCATGCTTGAAATAATAAATGTTGTTCCTTTTGTTTTATTTATTCAAATCGACATAAAACCGATTTATATTTTCTCACATTGAGCAAAAGGCTGAAAGGAGTAGCTCACTTCCATTTTTGTCTAAAATATTATCTCCACAGGGAAAAAGGTTTAGACTCGCATGTTACTGAGGAGAAAACAGTTGAAAGGGCTGTTTAATTGATGGAATTTGAATTGAGCCAAAATCCTATCAAATGGTCAATGATAAGATTAGGTCAACAGTGAAATCTGTGAATCATGTGGTTTAGAGCTCGGCCTATACATACAATAATTTGTTGTTGTTCAATAATTGATCAAACTTCATAAATAACTTTTAGGCTAAATATTACTGCTAATATTTTACTAGTTCGTGTCAACAGGGAACACTTATCAACCACACTGTAAATATGCCAGTATCATCTATACAGCTTATTTTTTCAAACAGTTTTTTTATGATGATGGAGAAATGACTGAATGAGTGCGTAGTGTATTTGTGACTGCGACTGTGGGACAACAGATGCAAATTAGCTACTTAACTACAATCTGGTGTATTTACAGATCCTGCTGTTCATGAATACGTACTGTTCCATCCAAATAAACAAATACATTGAAGAACTGGGAATATGCTGCTCAGATTTCTAGATGTTTGAAGGAAAAAAATAGAATATTGTTCAAAAGGATTTTATTAATTCAACTTAAAAAGTGAAACCAATTTATGATGACTTGACCATCCAAAACATCCAGCCTTTTGATAATAAGTTGTATAGGCCTGTAATAACATAATGCATTGTCACCTAAACAGTTTAGTTTAGGTGATTTCTTTTTGAACAGGGAAATCTAAATTGTGCTTTTTGTAGTATAGAATGACAATGTTTTTGTTGTTCCGGTCTGACTGCGCGATAACAATGGCCTCAATTATTCAGAGTGGAGTGTAGGGTGACGGCACATGTAAATTAGGTGGACACGATGAAAGCTCTTGAGGAGGGGGATCGTGTTGCTGCTCCCAAAGGCTCGTCTTCTTCGAAAGTTGCTCTCTTTCATTCATTATTAACCTGTGTTTTTATTGCTCTTTGTAATCCTTTCCCGACAACAACTGACGATAACTTACTTGCAAATAAACTTTAGTATTTTTTCTCATGAGAACATAAGCTGCATTTATTGGGTCTAAAGGTTGATTTACAGTAGGACTGCACAATTATAACCAATTGTATGGAAATAGCAATTTTTGTGGTTGCAATAATCACAATTATTTAAGTAGCAAAAATTGCATTTATTTAAATTGCAAATAATCACAATAATTTGAGTTCTTTGCAAACAACAAAGAAACTTATGATAAGCACAAAATCCCTTGAATTTGGGTATTTCTCTTGATTTTGAAGATTTCTCAATGGAACAAGTATAATTTCGTATTATTGTGGGCAGATGTTGAGAGCTGGTTGGCTGAGTGAGGCTGGTCCTCTATTTTTCATTTTTCCTTCTGAAAAAACTGATCTAAAGATGTGACAGTGGCAAATAGTACATGATAGAACCAAACTGTTTTGGAATCAGTTAGTTACATTTATCACATAGTTCCATAGTTTGTGGTTGGAAAGTTCCCTATATCCAAGAGTATGTCAGTTACTTTTCAACCTGTGAAGAGCAGGTAATGTTTGTTTATATAGCGCATTTTACAGACCAAGGTCACCCAAAGCGCTTTACAATGTTCAGAGTTCAGATATTGTTCCAATCATTCCACACACGGTGATGACAGAAGCGAGTCACCGAACACACTGGAGCATCAGCTCCAATCAACACCATCCATTCACTCTCTCATTTACATTCATACCTATTGTACATGTTTTTAGTGGTAGGGGAAACCGGAGCACCCGGAGGAAA